CAGATTGTTCCCACTGCAGGGGACTTGCTTGTTTGTGGGGAAGCAGCAGAGACTGAAAGCAGTGGGGACAGGGGTGGGTAGGAGGCCTTAACTGGTTGCATGGCCATGTGATGGTTCCTGGGCAGTGATTTATCTGACAGGTGTGTGCACTTGTGCCTCTTTCCCCCGAACACAAAACAGTGAAAATTTGAATGAATCAAGACATAACTTAAGACAAGACATAACATAACAGACTTACGCTGCTACTTTGCCTTTGGCGTGCTCAGACATACCCAGATGGGAACGTGATCTTTGCTGCAAATGATTAATCACAGAGGGATTAGAAGGAGAAATATGATACTGGTAAATGTTTGAGATTAATTGGAAAGGGCATCTGCATTGACATATTCATGCTTTGTTGTCAGCCCTATGGCTTCCAAAGGTGCTGTCCTGGTACTTGCAGAGTTACTATTTTTTAAAAAGTTTGAATGTGCATATATAAGGATCTGAGTTAGTGTAATTGTTTACTAAGTTGATGAATGTGTTAAACAGCAGAAATATTAAATCTGTCCTTTCAGTATGTTCACAAGGCTATCCTCACCTTCTTACTCCTGAATCTATTTGTCAGTCTAATCTAACATGATGCATTTTATCCCATTTAAATTTATAAAGCCTGGTTTATCTAGTGCAGCCTACTTATACTGTTTGATCTGAGTGTTAGATACTTATTGCAGCTTCATCCTTGCAGCAGGTTAGGATTTCATGCCTCTTACTGGAGTTCATGCTCTCAACACCCATAAGGCAGGGTTTTTACCCCGTTTTTTAGCCTGGGACTGAAGATACAAGAGTTTGGATGACTTTCTCATGATTATAAAAGTAAACTAGTGGCAGAGCAAGGAATAAAACCCTGTTTTGCTTTCCTGACATGTTAGAAATTAGTCTAAAATCGTACCGATGAGCACACGCTGTTTTCACTGATCCCTGGATTTTCTCCTGGTGTCCCTGCCATTCATAACGGCACAAGACCTGTTGAGTGTGAGGTCATGTGATGAAAGCTGATAGAGAGCAGGGTGGGGTGTAGATTACAGCAAGGTACATGGGGTATTCGCCTTGCACTAGGAGGTGTGTGGACACAGTGGTTTGTACTTGTTGGGCAGAAGTGAGTTGGAAACGCTGGGCGAGTGCATGGGAGCAAGGGGAGAGGGAGACTGGACCTTGAGGCTGTAGCCACTGGAAGGGAACATCTCAGGTGGATTTGCTACACCAGTCTGGTTCAGGAGTGAGAGCAACACGCGCCTGATACAGCAGCTTCCATGTATTTTAAATGTTTTTGACTATCGGAGATAGCAGCGAGCAGTGGGAGCTTGTTTGGGCGCTGTTTAGCATAGGAGGGCAGGGGAGGAGGAAGCACAAGAGCTTTAGGAATCAGGCAGCACTCCTGCTCTCACCATTGTGAAAGCCAGGCTTGGAGAGCACCCACCATGCTCCCACAGAGAAAAGCTCTTCTCCAGGTGTGGATGTGTCTCCTGGGGAGCAGGCAAGGGTTACAGCATTCGGGTGGTTTGAAGGAAAGCACTGTTTGCTGGAAGGTTGCCGTCTGGCTCCCAAGCAGGCACCTCCTGTGTCAGTAGCCATCTCTGTGCCCCAGGCACTCCTCCACTTTATGCAGAGCTCACTTTGAAGAGGTGAAGCAACTCTGGGTTTTGCTCTTTTTGATGCTATGGGTTTGAAGCTGCAAATGAGTCATAAACAACTAGGAATCTAGGAAGGACGAGATGCAGCAATGTCTTCTGAAGATGGATCCAAGCACTTTGGTGACATGGTGCAGCCTGAAATTCAAGCTAATTGCTGGAAACGATTAGGACATGGACTCTGAGCTTGTGTTTTGATTTGTTAATTCTTAATTGATGCAGTGAAGGTTACTGCTGGGTTCTCTGGAGGTGAACTTGAATCCCAGCATATCCCCCGCCCCACCTCCCAAAGACTGAAATGGTCTTTCCCCAAATTAGCAGAAGGTTCTGATTGTCAGTCAGTTGCCTTCAGTGGAAATTTCCACTGACTTCAGTGTACTTTGGCTCAAGCCTAAGGCTTGTATCTGCGTCTTCTAACCATTCATGCAGCATCTCTGCTTGCAGCTTTGCAAGTGCTTATGGTAAATATATGATATTTTATAGCTCAAGTGAGGACAGAGGTTGAAGGTAATAAGAGGGGACTAAAGAAGTGTTAACTAGTTCACAGTTTTCTAGACCAATTTGAGACCAAGGGAAAAATAATTCTGTATATTCATTGCAACTAGTATTGACCACTCTATGGAAAGTCGGTCAGTCTTAGCACTACTGGCTGCAAGTCAATCCTTCTTTGCATTCTTAGTGTTTACTAAACAATTAATTTCTCCCCATTACCATTTTTTTTCAGGCTTAAATTTTGAATATATTTTCTTTAATTTTTCTACCTTTTTTGGTGGAATAATGAAATTTGCTTGATACCGGGAAACAAAAGCAACCAAAATTGAATGAGTTTAGAAAGGATCAATTTCCTCTAAGGGGAACAGTCTTTGACTGCTTCTTAAGAATTTCCTATGTTCTTTAGAGGACGAGAGACAGGATAGGATGGAAAGTAGTGTGTTTTTCCTGTTAAATACAGAAAGAAGACTATGTTCCTTTCTGCCTTAGATCTCTGGTCCAAATAAAGTTTGAAGGTTAGCTCAGCCATGCCATTTTTAATGGTAATAATTACTATAATGAACATCACTTTGTATTTTTGTATTTATCAATATTGAGTTTTGATGGCAAATTGTGTCTTTCAATCCCCAGCAGCATAAACAGAATGAAAAATTTTAATTTGTTACTGCATGATTTGTCATATATTCCAGCAAATACACTGTAATATGTACACCGTACACATAATTATTTGAGTCCGTCCCTGTCCTGTTATGAAGATGAAATGGGAGAGGAGCCAAGACACAGGGCAAATAAGCGATTTCCCTGAGGTCACGGAGCACCTACTCCCTGGTGCCATCAGTGATTTGCATGTTAACATTAATGCACCACAACAGAAGCTGGAGGAGGATGGAAAAAATAATGTAACCTCTGCTCAAATGAAGACTCAAGAAATGAGAGCAGGTTTTACGACTGGTCCTACTGATTTCTGCTGGAGGTGGGGGGAGATTGTGAGAGCGTCTGCCATTGGGTGAGAGAGTGGGTGGATTTGTGGCCAGCAGGGAAGCTGAACTGCTGTAGGATTAAGAAGGATATTTCTGTCGTGGTGACTGGTTATTATTTCCTTTCTGAGTTACAACACACAGTGTCCAGGTCATTTTGCTTTGTGTGGCCCTTTGAAGGTGAAAAAGCACAGATGTCAGAGCAGCACTGCAGCCACCCCTGAGTAAAGACCATTCTGTAGCTCAGACAGGATCAGCCCCAGTCATGGTCTTGCTAAGACAGGAGTGTTTGGCATCATGAGGCCAGATATAGTAGCTTGGAAAGAAATGGTGCATTTGAGTTTTCTGAGTAGGACTTCCAGAGAAGCTTGGAGCTGGGATGCTTGCTCTCCTTACAGAACACTGTCGTCAGGTCTAATCCTGCTCCCAGGCAGAGTCAACTGGTGCATGATTACTCGTGCTAATGGGATCAAGACCAGGCTTTTAGCCATTCTATGCTTACCAGAGTAAACGCTAGCCAATGCACAGAAAAGGGTTTCTTGGAGGATTAGGAGTAGATTCATTCTAGGAAAAGGGAAAGGACATCCAGGAGTCCATGTAAGGAACAGTGAAGAAGCAAAATATGTTTGTGGGTTGTGTGGACTTTAGGGGGACCCTGAATGCTGAGATCTCTGTTGTTTTGCTGCACAGGGATGGTTAGACTCTGTGTGTGAGTGAACATGGCTGTAAAGATTAGTGCCTGTGATTGCTTTTAACTTTCTCAAAACTGCACCAGAATTGCCATGAGCTTTAGTTTTGAACACTGCTCTAGCCTTGTCCCCTTGGTTGGTCTGCATCATCAAACAGCTGCATGTTGGCGCACAGCTCCCTCTGAGAGCAGCTGGGAATAAGCAAGCAGCGAGACATCTTTCCTCTAAGGCCATGTGGAGGTTTTTTGAAGAAGACTGTCACTGTCTCGATTCCTGCATGCATTCCCCATGGCCATTCTTTTATGTAGTTTTGCGCTCCCATGAACGTGATGCATGTGCCCCAAGTCATACTTGTGCACAAGCACCCACCCCTACTGCAGCTATGCCTGGACCTACACCATCTGGGTGAGGCTCTGTGTAAGCCATAGATACTCATTGTCTAGCATGGCAATCAAAGTAGCTGTATCTCAGCAGCTGTATTGAATGGAATAAAGAGAAATGTCATCAATAATTTGACAGGGCATATCTGTGTGTCCTCCTAAAGGCTGGCCCCTACAGGAGAGGGGTTTGCCATAAAGTTTGTGTGAATGTGAATCAGGGAACAAGATGTAGGAATGGGTAATGACCATTGAGAACAAGAGGAGAGGTGGAGCATGTTGTAAATTTAAAAAAAAAAAAAAAAAAAAAAGGTAAAGAGAAAGAGGAAAAATTGAAAAGGGCAAGGACAACGAGATAGAAAAATGATGGAGGAGGTATCTTGATGGGTAGACACATCTGTCAGAATTTAATGTTCATTTGTTTCTCTACAGCTGCAGAAGCAGCCTGTATGTTACACAGCATCAGTGCAGGTTGCTTGCCTAGTTGTCAAAGCAGAAAGGGACCATCGTGTCCTTTTTGTATGAACTGTCTGAAGACTTGTATTTTACCCAGGGACTCCTGTGGGGAAATGAGCTACCTTCTCCATAAGTAGTTTATTGAGCTCAAATCTAAGAAATCTTCAAGACCTAAATTATTCCAAGATCACCTCACCCATAATGAGAAGGACATGCTTCAGCTAGACTGTTCTATATAACAAATGCCCTGATAACATGGAAGTGCAGCAGTTCTTTGCCTGCACCATGTAATCTGCTCTCTCTTGACTTTTTTTTTTCCTTACCTTTTAGGAAACAAAGATGGATTACAGCTCCTTCAGTGGAGTCCCCCGGTTCTTGACCCGGCCTAAGGCATTTATGGTGTCTGTGGGGAAGGATGCCACCTTGAGCTGTCAGATCATTGGAAACCCTATCCCAGCTGTGAGCTGGGAAAAGGATAAACTTCCAGTCCAGTCTGGAGGAAGGTTTAAAACCACAGAAGATGGGGATCTCTATAGACTAACAATCTATGATCTGAGCCTGGAGGACAGTGGCCAATATATCTGCCGGGCCAAGAACACCATCGGGGAAGCCTTTGCAGCTGTCAGCATCAAAGTTGGAGAGGAGACCACAGTAACGGAGTCGGCCCCGTACTTCATCCAGAAACCCTCCTCCATCAAGGTAACGCTGGGAGAAGATGCCATGTTCAAATGCAAAGTTCAGGGCAGCCCTCCCCTCTCAGTGAACTGGGAGAAGGATGGGAGACACCTGCGGAACCGGGCTGATGCTGGCCGCTTCCAGATTGAGTCTGCTGGGGAGTCCAATGCTCTCACCATACAGTGTGCCCGGCTCGGGGACAGCGGCACCTATACCTGCCGGGCGGAGAATCCCATTGGCTCTGCCAGTGCTTCGGCTGCGTTGGTGGTGGAAACACAGGGCTCTTCCAATCCGGGCAGCAGCAGCCACTTCGATACTGGCTGCGGCAAGATGACATCCTTGTTGTCTCACCTGCAAAAGAGGAGGGAGGAGATCAGGAAGATGGACATCTCCCATGGGACTCTTGATTCCACATCTGCCCACTCTTACCCCATGGCTGAAGGGTTGTCTGGCATTGGCTACAGCCTCTCCCGGGATTATGAGAGGGCATCTGGATTTACCACCAAAGGGGCCCGCAATGTGACTTTTGGGGCGTTGACACGCACGTGCAGTGTGACAGAGGGGAAGCACGCCAAACTGAGCTGCTACGTGACAGGCGAGCCCAAGCCAGAGATTGTGTGGAAGAAGGACAACGAGGTCATTTTGGAAGGGCGGCGACATGTCATCTATGAGGACGATCAGGAGAACTTTGTTCTGAAGATCCTCTTCTGCAAGCAGATAGACAACGGGCTGTACACCTGCACAGCCTCCAATCTGGCAGGCCAGACGTACAGCTCTGTGCTCGTCACCGTCAAAGGTGGGTGGTTGTGTTTCTCACCAGGGTGGACATGCCTACAAGGAAACAGACCATGCACTTCTGAATTGGGGTGGGAGCATGAACAAAATTTCTGCCACCAAACTGCTGCAAAGGAGTGTGGATGACTACAACCTCCCAGATGTGAAGGGGGTTAAGCACTGGAACAGATGACCTGGGGAGAGAGTCTCATCACTGGAGAGTTTTAGGAAGGGCAATAAATGGGCACTAGTCAGGGATGGATGATGTAGAACTGGATGGTTGTAGGGCATCTGGGATGAACCAGATCTGTAAATTTCCCATTTATCCTGGTTTTACAGTAATCTAAGAGATCTGTGACCATCCTCTGATCAGTGACTGCTAAACCCCATCTTACCCTCCAGGCTTCACAGAATCATAGAATCATCTAGGTTGGAAAAGACCTTGAAGATCATCTAGTCCAACCATTAACGTAACACTGACAGTTCTCGACTAAATCACATCTGGGTTTATATTTACCACAGGGTTTAGTCAAACTGGCACACACGTGCAGTTTAAGCGGTAGTAGAGGAAACTCCTCCCTGCCAACTGAGTGTGTTGGGCTGCCTTGTCTCCCATGGAGGACCTACTCCAACTCTAATTTCAGTCCATCTCAGTTTTCCTGGGACCCACCAGCAGCCTTGTTCTTGTCAAACTCTTCAGCCTTTTCCCAGCTTGTGTCGCTGGATAGCCTTGTATGCCCCCAGAACTCTACCAGGTCCAAGGGTGCATCTGTTTCCTGTGGTCAGTGGCAAAAAACTTCCCTTAAAAAGGTCCTTCAGCTCTGGTGGGGGTCAGACCAAGTTCTTCAGAATGGTGACAAAAACATAACACACAGATTTTCACAACTTAAGCTCTACATTTTCAAGCTGCTCTCCCATTTGGCAAAGTTACAGCAGGCAGTTTGCAGCCAGGCAGCACCTGTAAATTAACTCTCAGATGTAAAAGGTTTTGCCACTTGGGTGGGAAAATAGATAGTTTTGACCTGCAGCAAAATAAATTAGAAATCCAAATGAGTAGGAATGGTCTGTGTTTAAGACTCTCAGCTTTTACTTGGTTTTCTGGTTTCCCTTTCACGCTCACCATGTTTTCCATCAGTGACATGTGATCCGTGGAACTTACTTGCTGGCACTTGTCCCACTCATTGCCATCCCTTGGAGGTGCTGAGTGGTGTTGGGAAGGGCATTTCTCCCCTTTCATAAAGCTGTGATTACCTCATGAGTTGGGACTCAGAGCTGAAGACCAGGCCTGGCCCTCGGGTGGGTGTTCACTTTGAGGATGAACTTCTGAGGATGAACATCTCTGTTACTTGCCCAACACTTGTCTTGCAGAGACAAACACCCTCCCCTCTGCCCATGCTTATTTGATTATTCTCAATGAGTGCAACCTGTTCCAGAGGAGGTGGGGAAAGCATGTCAGGTCTGGGAGCAAGCAGTGTGGGAAAAGTTACTGATCAATGTCCGTTATCAAGAGATGCCTGTGAGTAAGAGTGCTTAAGTGGAATTGTTTATGGCCTGTTTCTTTGTTATACTGTACCATGCTGGGTTTTCTGACGAGGCCAAGGCTGTCATGGAAGATCTATGTGCCTTAGATATAATTAGGCCCTGAATAATTACTCTCCTTTGTGTCCCCAGAGGTCCTTCTGAGCCTTCCAAAGACTGCTCAGAATGATGTAGCAATGAAGGGAACTTTTAGTTCTGTTGTTTATGCCACTGGTGATGCCATTAGCTCATTTGCCATCATGTTTAGAGGGGTAGAACATCTTGCCACACAACCTTCCCTTTGCTCAGTTGTGCAGAATAGGTTCTCCAAAGAGCCACCTTTGGTAAGCACCAAGCTGCTGCATTCATCTTTCTGCAGGTGACAGCATATTTATAAAGCCTGTGATGCTGCATCCACAATGTGTGTCTATAGACACAGGTACCAGGAATGGCAATCTTTATGGGTTTAAGTATGCTCTGGCATTTTGATTCACAGAATTTCAACACAAGAACCTGAGTAAGAATATTTATGGGTCTTGGGAAAAAAAAAAAAAAAAAGGTACCTAGCCCAGCATCCTGTCTGTAACGTGGCTCTTTAGCAGTCTCTTGGGGCATAGGACTGGGCACAGGTCAAACCTCTTCCCTAGCTTGCTGCCTGTATTCCATCAGCCTGGGTTCTAGATATAGAGACTCAAGCAATTTGTAAGCATTTGCTGAACCCATGCCTTAAAGATCACTGAGCTGAGAAAAAAAAAAAAAAGAGATTTTTGAGCTGTTTCTAAGAGAGATTTAGTGAATCAGATGTAAATCTCAAAGGAGACAAGACTACAGGGCAGTGTCACTCTCACAATTAAGGAAAACAAAGAGCTGATAACTCCAGAAATCTGAGGGTTCTAGAGTCTAGAACAGGGATAAAATCACAAACATACGCTGAAACGTGAGATGTGAAAGAAGTTAGAAAATACTGCCTAAGAGTAAACCTTTATGCCGGGGAGGTTTAGATTGGATATTTTAGGAAAAATTTCTTCACTGAAAGGTTGTCAAGCATTGAAACAGGCTGCCCAGGGAAGTGGTTGAGTCGCCATCCCTGGAGGTATTTAGATGTGTAGACATGGCATTTAGGGATATGGTTTATGGTGGACTTGATCTTAAGGGTCTTTTCCAACCCAAACAATTCTATGAGTCTATGATTTTTGCCAAACCAAAGAGAAGAGAGGATGGGAGGAACGCTAATCACCAACTTAAATTTCCTGAAGGCTTTGGACGTGTCCCAAGGCCACTTGTAAAGTTAGTGAGAACATCATACAGGTCTCCATGCTTGGACCTGGGCCAAGCCATGTTCCTCTGAGTCCCTGAATACAGTAATCAGACACGATGAAAAGACATGTATGAAAAGGTTAAAGGTTGCAAATAGGTATCCAAATAGGATAGAGGCTGGAAAGCCAGACTTGTGCTGAGGCCACTTTATTCCTCTCTGACCCGAAGTGATTTTGAGTGATCACTGTCATGGTAGTCACATCTGAGATCTGAAAGAGAACTTCGGAAATTTGGAGGTAGAAAGGAAACTCAGAAAGCACAACAACTAGGAAGAAGACCAAAGGCAGGAGATGGTGGAATCTCTCGTTGGAAGGATTTTCAATATTCTTACTCTCACTGGATCATTTTTATTAAGCAGAGGGAAAGCTTGCCTCTGGAATAATAAATGAAGAGCCTGTGAGAAGGCCAGGAATAGGCAAGAGGAAATGTAGGGAAGTGGGAAGACGAGGTCAAGCAGACAGATATGCCTCGAGAAGGTTAAGGAAACATTGGCTTCTTTGCAGGCTGCACCTATTCTTAGCAACGCACATGTTAGTGGGACCCGCTCTTAAAAGAATAACATCATCTCATTGCTAGTTTGCTTGATATGGACCTAACAAAAAACTCCTATGACACTGGAGAAATATGTTCTGAAGACAAGCTCCAAATTCGTAGCTGGTCTCAGCTCTTGCAGTTTTCCTGTTAACTCTATGAGCTTCCCTTGCTCTATGCTCCCTCATGGTTTTGCTTTGCTGTTTCTATATCTCATGTATTCCACAGTTGGCAGGCTTTTGTAGGTCTTTTATCTTTTATTTATCTTTCTTTAGAAATGTTATTGCCTTCATCATATGCCTTAATGAGTATTTCTGCATTGGCTAAAAACAGATTAATAGAAGAAACTAGAGTAAAAAAAAAAAAAAAAAAAAAAAAAAAAAAAAGGTTAAAAAAATAAAAAATTTTAAAAATCATACTGATACTAGAGATGCATTTAAATAGCCTCTCAGGGCACTGAAAATAACCCATGACCTGGGAGTCCAGATGTCACAAGGACAAAGCAGAATCATTATTCAAATTCACACCACTGAGCACTTATGGAAGTAAATGTTTCTAGATAATGGTTGGAGTGATTAGTTTTGTACTTTTGGTTGGATTCTGTATGAAATGGCATCTACTTCAACTGCTTGTCCAGCTTACAAGACATACAGTTCAGGTGCCTCTTGCTTCTGCTCCACCACATCAGCCTGTGCCAGCTGTGTCTAAATTGTCACTTCCCTGGTGCCTGGGACTCACATGTACATGGACCTCTGGAGACTTGTGCAAAGATGAAAGTGTTTTGTATTATGGGAGGGACAGTCCAGCTGGGTGAGCATCCTTAGGAAAGGATGTGGCCAGGAAACCGTCAAACCAGGGCTTCCGAAAGCACCGTGGCAGATCATCTGTTCACAGGTGACTGCCAAACTGAAGTGAAAAAAAAGATTATTTTTTTTTCTTTATTTTTTTCTTCAACACTCCTGAATGTTTCCACTCCAGTCATTCTGAAACAAGCCACCAAGATTTTCTCAGAGAAGATTTCAGTAATTGTTTTGAGCAAAATCAGCATACTGCTGTGCAGCTGAGAAAGAGATCAGAAATCATCTTCCTTGCCTAATATTAAATGATTTCTGTCCCTCTCTGATACGAATAGGAACTAGAGATGGGAATTGGTGGCACTTCTTACCTGAAGCAGAGGGTGTCTGCGACAATTATTTCACGTGTAACCTTAGCTGAACACTTTTTTTTTTGCTTATCTTACAAGAACTTTTTCAGATATTGTGAATGTTTTGGATAATAAGGAATGAGTGATAGCTAAATGGCTTTATCTTCCATATTAGTCATACTTAACACAAGCTTTACATTGAGAATTGCCTTGTGGAAGAGTAATACATGACAAACAGTCATTTAGAAATGAGGAAATATTTATGGAGTCTGTCAGATCAAATATAACATAGTTATCTGCAGCAGTTCTTCCTGATGTGCCTGTAGTAGTTACAGCAGAGAATCTGAATTGTACCGGGTGCTGCGCAAATAGGTAAGTGAGGATGCCTGTGTTAGAGAATTTGCAATGTAAATGTCAAAATCTGACAGATTGCAGGCCAACGTGGGGTGAAAGTAAGAGGTCTCTGCTGAACTCACCATGCCGGCCAGTGGGAGAATTAGGGTATTCATTTAATTTCACATTTAACCGGGTAAGTGGAAAGTAGACTGAAAGGCTGGTGTAAAGTTTAGTGCTTCCTTCCTCAGAATAAGGCTTCTTCATGTAAGTATTATATGGTTATATACTCAGACTGTGTTGATTAGTCTATTAACAAGGAAGATGAGCCACCTACCTTTCACAGATCTTTCCTTGAGATCTGGGTTGCCTGTTGATGAGCTGGAGACACTGTTCCCTCCGGGGCAGGGGGCTGGTTATGGGCCAGATGAATTGTTTGGGATGCCTACTCTAAAGAGACCTGTGGTCTTTCTGCAGTCCCCTGACCCCACGATTAACCCTTTCTGTCTGACCAGGTACATGCTAGAAGATGTAAAGAGCATGAAGATATAATCAGGATGAGGAGACTGGTGGGTTTTAGAGCATCTCTCATGCCTCCAAAGCAAAAAAAAAAGCAGTGGGCTGGGTGAATCCCAGAATTCAGTTTGTCATCTGCTCTTTCTCTGAAGCCTCGTCCAGAGTGAGCTAAGACGGGTGTGCTCATGTCAGTAGGATGAAAGCAAAGTTGTTTTCAGAGGATATCTGTGACCCCAAGCTGCCAAAGATATCCTTGTGCTTACTCTCCCTGGCTGAAAAAGCAGTTCTGTTACTGCAACACACACAAAAGAGTCAACCAACTCTTCTGAATTTTTATGTTTAAGAGCTTTTTCCTGGAGCGTGTTTCGTTTTGTTTTGTTTTGTTTTTTAAATTTTTGCCTTGAATAATGCTTAGTGACTGTAAAGGGAGAGCAGTTAATGATACGGCCAGCTGCTCCAAGTATGGGAATACACTTGTGTGCTTCTCAGGTGCATCTCATTTTTCCTTCTGGCCCTTGGGCACGTCTGTGTGTTCTCAGCATCAGATCCAGACTCCTTCCTATCTCACACAGCAACCCTGCATCCAGGTCCCGGAGGCTGGCATCCTTCTGATTAATGCTTTCTTAATCTCATCTCATCCTCTTGCTTATTCCCATGGCATGAGAATTGGAACTGCTTCATTCTCCCTGACAACATGGGGTGCTTCCAGAGGTGATATATAGGATTGCAGGGCAGGAGTCTGAGTTGACTGGTCGTTAAAGAATAAAGGATCATTAATGTGTGGTGGGGGCAGAGCAGGTCCGTGTAACAGCAGCTGAAGGCTTTTCAAAGCAAGACTTCGACTTGCCTTGAATTAGGGTGCATTAAGGCAAAACATTTTTTAACAAAATGAACAGGTTGACATGGTGAGCTAGAGTCACCTTCCTGTTCCTAAAGGTAATGTATGAGCTCTCTCTCAGTCAGGTTTTGTTCTCAGGATAACAGCCAAGGTAGCATTGCTCCCTCCAGGTGTCCTGTCGAGCCCTGAGGGTCTGGTATCTCCATCCAGGCTGTGCTCAGCTAGAAACGGTTGGAAGTGTGACAGCTGCAATAGTGGCTGTGCCAGCGGTGGAATGAAAGGCTTGCAAAACCAAACACATGAGTATCTAGGGCTTGAGAGCAGAAAAGAGCAAGCCAGATCAAAGACAGCACTGCTCCCATAGCAGCTCCTGTCCTAATGGCGGGGCAGGTAATGGTCTCAGTTATACACTGAGCTACCAGATCTGAATTTTACAAAGCTTCAGTCTGGGATGTCTGAGGGCCTTGATTTGTGTTTCTCCAGCCTCTAGAGCACTGTGACTCTGAGTGGGATGTGCCACTGTGGTCATGGGCTTATAAATCTAAGACAGGTCTACTGCTTGACTCTTCGAGTAACACTTGGCATTACTGACTGATAGTGACCACATGAATTTACCATCCTGGGAGTGTGTGTGTTCAGGGAGAGGGAGGATGGAGTCACAAAAAAAGGCTGGGAGATGGCGCCGTAGTTACGAGAAGATGAAGGTATGTGTCAAGACATGATCTCTCACAAAGCACGAGTGATGATGCATTTGTACTGGCTAATCCAAGTCTGTGACATGGCTGTGGCACCAGTCCCGTGGCTGTGACCACCGGCTGTCCTCTTCAGTCCAACTCCCCTTTCTCCAGTTTAGTGTTGGGGTATCAGGATGATTTCACAGTGCAGCTGTCACTGGAATTAAACATTGTAAAATGTCTTCCCTCACTGCCATGCAGCTGTTTTCCATGTTTGACTTATACTCTGGTTTCTCCCTAAGCCAGAGCACTGCAACCCCGCTGCTGAAGGAAAGCAGAGGCATCTGGGAGACCTGGGCTCTTTCTCTAGTTATTGTATTGTCAGTGAGAAAAGCTGATACAGAGCTTTTGGTGCTGGTGGGGAGAACAGAAATCTCCTCCATCAGTTACTTCTGTGCATTCCCCCATATCTGTTCTTTTATGTGCAGCCACCTCTCATTTTTCTGTGCCCTTTCAGATTGCTCTGCTGAGCTCAATTCTGCTGCAAACCCCCGAAAACATTGGTTCTTTCACCAGCTCAGCTGTTCACACTCATCTAGAATTTCTGCCCTTTGCCCTCTTCCTATGACCAGCTTGTTTGCTATTTACAGCCTGTAGCATCTTTACTTTAAGGGCTTTCACTCTGAGATAAAGTGGCCACTGCTATGTAAAGTCAGGCTGGGTGGGCCCTGTCCTTCATGTTGTTGGCATCACTAAGTGACAAAGTGCAATGCTAGAGGACAAGCAGGCCACAAGAGCAGCATGTAACCTGATGCTTTACCCTTGTTCCCATTGCTTTGGATTAGTGCAAAGTCCTCCATGGTGTTGTGGGGCAGGTGCTGCAATTCAGACTGATACTGGCTTGTTTTTAGATAAGTCTTTCAAATTCTTCTGCTGAGATCCAAGTGGGTTTGTTTGTTTGTTTGGTTTGGTTTGGTTTTTTACATGAGAGCAGAACACCTGCTGTAGTAGGGCTTGATTATGGGTTTGGATGGCAGCTCAGGACAGATCAATATCACTATGGAGTGTTACTGTTTTTTTATTTTCTGTTAACTTATTTATTTGCACACCTCTTACCACACACCATCATAAATTCTTGCTTCTCTTCTGTTTTTATCCTCTTAAGAACCCTCAATACCCTTTAAGGAAAAACTGAAGGATCTTGAAGTGAGGGAGAAGGAATCTGCCACCTTCCAATGTGAAGTACCTGTTCCTAGCACAGAGACAGCTTGGTTCAAGGAGGAAACCAAACTCCGGCAGAGCAAGAAATACAACATCGAGGAAGAGGGCACGTATCGCCGGCTCACTGTCCAGAATGTCACCACAGATGATGATGCTGTCTATATCTGTGAGATGAAAGAAGGAAGCAGGACCATCGCAGAGTTGTCTGTCCAAGGTAAAAAAGGCTCTTGCTATTTCAGAGAGGCGAAATCTCACCTACCAAGTGTGAGATTCACACATGAGACTACAGACTCGACCTTGTGAATGGTATTTGCCCCCTGCGTGTGTGCAGTGGAGAACAGCAGACTCCCTTTGCGTGTGAGAGAAGAGCCATGTGTGGTTGGTCAGTGGGTCCCTGGGTCTCCTGCCAGGGTGTATCTGGGACACAGGGTCGGTGAGAGGGGACAGATTGTGTTGCTGCACGAGCTATGTCACCTGGTGGGGACCTATTCTCAATGGGGCTTTCTAGAAGGCAAAGCCCTTGAGCTGTAGCCTAGCACTACAGACTTTCCTTAACGTGATCCCCAGCATTGAATATGTCCCTGGCACTGTCTCTCACACGTCTGGTCTGGTGTCTGGCAAACACAACGGTGAATCTTGTCCAAGTGTTGCTGGCCACACTGGGAAACTGTCTTAGCAGCTGTGGTTTGTGGTCTGATGGGCAGTGCAGTCAGCACCAGTATGGTTTCAGACTGGAAACCAGATCCATGCTCCAGATCCCTGACATCTGGAGGTGTTCTCAGGAGTGTGCGAAGCTGATGAGAAAAGGGCAGAACGGGGATATCAATCCATGTCCAAGTCTTCTGAGTGTGGCAGTTTAGGACTGAAGTGCAAGTAGGTGTAGAGCCTGGTATAGTGTAGGTGTCTCTCAGTGTGGGTAGACACACTCATCAGAGAGGCAGCATTTCTGCAGAAGGGGCCATTGTTTTCGACTCACTGACTTGCTGTATGAGCGAGAAATTACCCATGCAACTGCGGGACCTGCAGTTTGATTTTGATGATGCTTACACTGGTGTTGTTGACATGTCTCCTGTTGCATGGATTGGAGACCTGTCATAGCTACAGGATGGCACTTATCCTGACTCATTTGAAGCCTGACTTTACTCCCAGTGAAACCAGAAGTTCTTAGCTACATAAATCGGTGCGATGAGTGCATCCTTGTGCAAATTCCTTTTTGTATCATTAGCAAAGAGTTGATAGTGCACGTGGGTGGAGGCAGAAGGGAAAATTTAGTCCAGAGATGCGGCAGAGTTCAGATAGACATCTTTTTGTTACACCTTCTGTTAGGTCTAGACCAGCCAAAGACTGTCAGTGTGTTTGGCACCAGTAGGACAGCTAGAATTTGTTTTACTTGTTTGTGCTATGGTACTATGGCATGTTCCATTAAAAAGAGAGTGAGTCAGTCAGGTGGAGCTCTCGGGAGGAAAAGGAGGCAGGGCCTTTCTTGGGGAGCCCTGTGCCTGCCCTGGGGGGAGAAGATTTGAGAGAGCAGGGTGTGGTTGGGATGCTGCGAGTGCTTGGCAGAACGCAAAGGGCTGCAGGGATGGGGACGCCGCTGGGGGCAGCAAGGAGCAGATGTGTGGACAAGCTTTGGAGATGATAAGCAGAGAATCAGGGCCTTGAATCCTACTGATGAAATGTGTGCCTGATCTGTTGCTTCATGAAGGAGTTCAGCATTGCTTCTCATTAAATAGTTCTAGGTGCTTTGCCTGGGGGAGGGCTCTTCTGCCTTTCAGGGATTGTTCCAGGCCTGGAGCCAGTCACCGTCTGTCAGCAGGGGTGGTCTCCTGCTTTCCTGTGAATAGTCACATCTTGTAACTTTGAGGCTATTCTGTGATAATCATTGCAGTCACTTGAAAAGGACAGAAATAAGTGAAGTTCATTCCACGTGAATTTCTGGGTTGATGCTAAGAAGAAATCTGAGGTTTTCAGTGTATTTTCTATTAATTTGGTTGACTCCTGTGTTTGCCATCTTGGCTATGTAACTGTTAATTTTGATGGAGACAAAATCCCAAAGATGGACGAGAGACCTGTCTGATTTAAGACTTTAGCAAAGTTTTAATTTGAATTCCCAGCATATGCGAGCAATGAAATTCATATCACTCCAATCTGTTCTTGGCAAGGCCATATACTTTGTGTTCACCCAACAGCAGACAGAAACATGAGTGACTGTAGTCAAACAGGATTGCTTTTCTCTCTTTGAAAGCCAAAATGAGTCCATGTGCTTATCTGTTCTGTGTAACTCAGAGCTTAGGAATTCATTTTGGGATGCCTACAATGTTTTGGTTAGGTGAGGGCTATTGACTAGTCCTGTTGTAGTCTGGATGGTCCACTGTTGACAGAGATTTTAATATCCGCTGTTTGCTGATCATGATTAATTTCTTATTTAAAGGGAACATAATAAAAAAACTTCCACGAAAGACTGCGGTCTTCATAAATGACACAGCCATCTTCTGTGTGGAGCTAGACAATGAATGCCAGAACATCCAATGGCTGAAAAATAAAGAAGAAGTGAAACCCAGTGATCGAATCTCCATCACATGCTCGGGCAAGCAACACACCATGATCATCCGAGAGTGTAAGATGGAAGATGCTGGTGAGATTGCTTTCCTGGCTGATGAAAGCAGGACTTCCACCCAGTTCACTGTGACCAGTAAGCTTCACTTCTATTCAGCGTTGGTGTTGGGTCTTCCCTAGCGAGCAGGCGTTCCCGTGTTAGTACTGTTATTTTAGGTACTGCCGTGGTAAGTTTGTTGTCCAAAGACGGTAGAAGGTTCAGTGTCTGCCGCAAAAGGCTGACAGCCTGAACGCTAGCGTTGTGAAATGTTATGGAGAGATCAAAACAGAGAGAGGAGCCCTGAGGAAAAAGCATGGCACAAATGTGTGTCTTCTCCATACCATTCTCATTTCATGCTGGAGTGAATGTGAACTGATACCTGAGTAAAACATGGGGTTAGGGACATGCATGCTCTCCTCATCAGGAGGTGCTTAGAAAACACTGTGTAAGTTACACACATTGCAGTCGCCTTAGTTCGTTGTACACAGAGTGCTGTGTGTGTTCCATCTATATGCTGACCTCCATTTTCCAAAATCATTAGTTTCTTTGAGGGGCATTTCAATTCTTGCTCCAGGGATTAAACTTCTTCTAGCAAATATGGACCACTTATCTCTCCTTCTCTCACTTCACTGAGGATTTGGGAGAGTCAGCCTGCATTGAATTCCTTCTCTAGGTCTTGAGTCTACAGAGATGTGAGAGCAGCTTGTGGATATGCTGGCTCTTACAGCGAAGTAGATAGGTGCCCTGGACGTTTTTTGGCAGAGTATGAAGTTTATTTACATTCTATCAAGTAAAAAAAAATTTATATGCGCACACATGAAGCATTTCAGGGGCGGTCAAATGTTCACTAGATTGAAACATCATACTTTCATTTAACTTCTTAAGCTGTTTTTGTTAAAGTAAAATGTAAGTATAAAAAACCCCAACAACAAACCTGCAGGAAAAATGGAAAAATGCTTCTTCCTGAAAATATAGTTTCCTTCCTTTTGTAGAGACCAGCAAAGCCATGTCCTCTGTCACCTTCTCTTTGATATGACAAAGCTGGGAGGACGCTGTGAATTGATGGTAGCTCTGCTGAAAGGAGGGATCTCTCTTCTGTTTTAGCTTTGCTTGCGGAGACTGATGTAATATGCAGGCTGGAGAATTTCTTCAGCTGGCACATCTGATCTGAGCAAGGGTTTTAGTTGACAGACCGGTAGCAACAGGTGAGAGAGGTAGTTGAGATCAAACCTGAAATGAGATTTTGATGAAGATGGCTAATGCTATTTAACTTTATTTTGATGGTGCTGCATTTCCCAGGCAAAAACTGATTCATTTAAGACAGAGAGCTGCATGTGGTTTCTGGCTCTGCTGCAGTTCCAGTTTGCATGTGGACAAATCATCCACTCTAGTAACTATGTGGGAAGAATAATACTTGTTTTCTCCCACCACCACCACCACCACCTCTGAACTACAATTAGTCAGTGATAAAAAGAAATCTTGAAATAAAGGTTTGTGACTACTGTGTTATCTAAACTTGGTTGTTGCATTCTGATGCTGTTGAGATAAAATGAGGTGAACGTCACATTTAGCATTTGTGTCAGTTTCTAAGGTATTTGGAAAAGTGTGACATCCAGCCAAGCACCTATTCAATGGGAGCAACCAAGTTAGTTTGATTTCAGACTCTGCTGTTTAAGTTATGAAGAAAGTTTTGATTCATGGGACAAAAAAAAAAAGGTAAGAAGCTGCCTTCCCACCAATAGGTATCTCTGAAGAAAACATTACATTACCATTTCTGATGGTAAGGTCAGGAGATCTGATTCCAGGGTCTAGTATTCAGCCTAATGCTACACTTAACGGCACCTTTGGCATCTAGTTCTGACCAGCGGTAACTGACAGGCTGGTCATGGTGCACCCCAAAACACTTGTGTGTCTGTCTGTGTAATAAAGGAAAAGTGTATTGCGTTGAGATTTCCTGTTTTCACACTTTGTGCATATGTGATAAGCAACTTGAAGAATATTGTGAACTATGTTCGCATCTTTTTCAAGTAGCTGGCCAAGACTGCTGTTGGCTGTTCTAATAGCATTTGTCAGGCAAGCCATGTTTATATATTATTTGCTCAGTATCTTGCATTGTTACTATGCCTGTTTTACAGGTGGGTAAACTGAGGCAGAGAGAAGATCAGCTGTCCCAGAGTTTGGATTTTAGCCTAGCTCATCACACAGGCTCCCTCTATAGTCATGAATACTTGAGTATCTGCAATGCGCGGTGCGATTTGTTTTACTCATCCCATGCACCTTCTTCAAACTGGGGTGAATTGCTCCTGAGTGTGCTGTTCTCCATGGGATTACAGTTGGAGTCTGGCTGACTGATTTAAAACAGACAGCCAAAATTAAATGAAATGAATCCTTTACCACGTCAGTAGATGTGTAACTAGAGCATATCAGATAATTCCTAGCCTCTTGACCATACCAGTGGCAGCACAGAGTGAATAACCCAGATGGGAGCTGGGGCTTCTCTAAAGGGTTCAAGAGGAACAAGAGGATGAATATAAATCTTCATTATGCAGTTATCTGCAGGGATACGTTTGTGACCTCAGGTACTGTAAAGTAGCCACATCTCCTCAACTGTAGGGTGTCATGGTGGGGACATGCCTTTCTGTAATTTCCTTTTGAAGTTAATTCCCCAACCCCAAAAGCTGGCTCTGCATAAATAGCTAAAACAGAGACCCCCAGTGATAGCTATCATTCCTGGCAGACAAAGTCACACCATGCCTTCTGAGTGGGGGTCACTAAAACTCAGAAGCAGGACAGAGGACATAATACCCAGATGGAAGTGGCTGCAGAGAGCAGCCAAGCCTGTGTCACAAGCAACTGAGATCTCTGTAACTCTAAAACCCGTGCACTGTTTATCTGTGTCTTTTATCTCTGAAATGTCCCAGTTCTACAATGTTTAGCTACTCTGTGTTGAAAGCTGTTGAGGATCTGTGTGAAATGCCTTAGCGTACGGTTGGAACAGGTTCTCAAGAAGAAAGGGATAACGTGGACTCCTGGCACAGGATGATTTTTATGGAGTGTATTTATGTTTCTGCACAGGATGTTACACCTGTGTGCAAAACATTGCAAAATATTGCCACGCTCTTCCTTGATGCAATACTGTCTTGCCATGCGTTGATTCTCACAGGCACATCTACACTCCTGACTACGGGGATGTGTATGGTTGAAATTCCCCCAAAATACCAGCAGACTTACAATATTAGTTAACTATCTCTGTGCAGTGATGTTTAGTAAGCAGGGCAAAATTGTGCCATCTTGACGCAGTAATCCCACTGAGTTATTTATTTTTTATTTTTATTTTCACTTTTATTAACCTGGATTCACACCATGAAAGTGAACCAGGAATTTAGTGCACAGAACAAACTTTGATGGTGGTTTTACCCATCTTCTGAGTGAAAATAACAAGCTGAGTGCTTTGCCCAGGAGCTTTCTAGGAAGTAGTGTGGGTCTGTACACAGTACTGAAAATTTGAGCCTATGAATTTGTTCACTGCAGGCTCTTTATCTGTGCAGATAATTGTAATGTGTAGAAATCACTTATGTTTAGCTGTGGAGGTAGGGGTATTATACATCTTTGTGTAATGCAGCCCAAAAGCATCTGCTATCCATTCTCTTGCTTTTCCACCGCACATCAATGTTTTATGGAGATTTATTAAGTAAGAGTGGCTTTTAGTCCAACTTAATCTTTTTTCAGTGAGACACAGTGGCTTTTCCACTCTGACATCAACTTCTTGCTTTGGTGTTTTGTGGTTTTTTGTTTTTGTTTTTTTTTTTTTTCACCTTGTGCAGCTCCCAAGAAACCTCCCACCCAACCCCCAGCTGACCCTGTGGTGAAAAATAAAACAGAAACCTCAGTGACGTTATCATGGTCCCCTCCGAAGATGGACCGCCCCATTCCAATCGATGGCTACATCGTGGAACGCAAGAAACTAACTGGCTTTACCTGGGTGAGGTGCCATGAGTCTCATGTCCCTGTCCCAGAGGTCACGGTGAGCAACCTGTTGGAAGAGGCTGACTATCAGTTCAGAGTGTGTGCAGTCAACGCCTATGGACAGAGCCCCTACCTGGAGTTCCCAGGAAGCATGCACCTTGGTGAGCACAAAACCATCCTAAAATAGGTCAGTCTGTGCAGATCTGCCACATGGGTGCTCTAAAGATGTTTCCCATGACTTTGAGGAGGATAGAGCATTTGCACAGCAAAAATTTTTTTTTCCTTTCGCTGATAGTTCTCCTATCTTATTTCAACCACTGACCACCACCAAAGCGATGGTGGTTGGGTTTCTGCGACAGAGCTGTGAGTATACTTAGATTCCAGTATTTCACGTCAGGTTGTGTGAGAGGCAGAGCTCTCTACAATGGACCTTAAGCCTGTAATTGCTTATTCTAGACCTGATATGAAAGGAAAAAAATGAGTGGACTTAAAATTTTCAATATATAAATAAGATATCAAATTTACATGTAGAGAATATTTATGGGTGATCACACTGTCATGAAGGCCAAGTGCCAGTCAGTCTCTCTTTAATCTTAGAGTTACTAGGATAAATATGGGTTTTTTACTTTATATCTAGGGTGACAATGTGCCCATAGAGTTATTGTGTGCAACAGGATTGCTTCTTCCTTTGATTTATTGCACTGGACGACATCTGCACAGGCTTTGATCCATCTGCATCTTGTTGTTGTGTCATATTTCTCCCTAGCTGTCTGAACATGCCTGTATTTGTCTAGATATGAATATCTAGAAGTGACTAGAAGGCTGCGTGGCCTCCTTAGGATCCTTCTGAAATCTAAGAATAATACTGGTTATTAAATAAATAGCACAATTGTTAGGGAACCTGGGTGTTTCAGGCTTGTTATGCCTTTAAATATGTTAGGGGAAAAAAACTCCAGTATAATATGCCTGCTGTTCTTTCCTTGTGAAGCAGGACTTACCCTAATGCCAGAGGCCATGAGGCTGCAAGGTTTTATTCTCATGTCTTGTTTACCCTGATAACTTTGTTCTTAGGAGGAACTGGTGTCCAGTGTAGAGGACTTGTGTCCTTTGGTCTCAGAGACATGTAATGTTCTTCTTCCCTAGGACCCGTTCTGGCTGTGAAAACCCCCCTAACAACTGTTGAAGCTGTGCCTGGAGGGGATGCCCTGTTTACTCTTGACCTTACAACAACATGTTCTGGCACTTGGTACCTTAATGGTAAAGCCTTACACGAAAGTGAGACCTGCATCATTAAGAGAACCCAAACTACTCATACCCTAATCATAAAGAATGTCACCAAGAACGATGATGGAGCAGAAGTAAAATTTGTTGCCAATAATGTTGACACCAGCACCAAGATGAGAGTGAAAGGTATTTTTTTCATCACTGTTCTTTTTTCTTCCAGTCAAGAGGCAGCTGGTCTGACTGGGGCCAGAGGCTTTTGCTGATGTCTGGTCTGCAGGAAGTACCTGAAATGGCATCGTATGAACTAATGTGGGTCCTGGTAATGACCTCACCATGATAGCACGAAGTTCAGAGTGAGTCGATCTGGCCAGCTGGTTGGTTTCTGAAGTAGACTGCTTAACTTCAGCTCGTAAATTCCTGTAGTTCACAACCATTGGTCAGTGGATTCTGTCACCAAATCTATCGCTGAGTCACCTTAAGCCAGTAATTTCAGCTCCAGGTTTGGCTGGATTTTCTGACTGTAGCAGAGTCTTTCAAAAGTAAAGGAGCATTAATTACTAACAGAGGTTTTTTTCTTGGAGATTTTTTAGTCTACCACAGATGTGTATGATGTACAAGTTAGTATCATGTAACTTGATTTAGCATTGAGAGTTGTGTGCTCCAGCTTTCCTCTATGAAACATTGATAACATCTTCCCATGTTGCATGGCAAAAGGTTATAGAGACATTCATTCTGGAAGGAGGTGTTTGACTTTGGGTAAAAATCTCTGCGGAAGCATGTTTAAAGTATTATTAATCAGTAGAAAGATGTACCTTTTTTTTTTTTTTTTCTTCTTAGTGACTCTGGCAATAAAAACAGATCAAGTCTCCTGAACCAGAAAAAAATGTTCAGTATTGACATGAGTGTGGGCAGAAACAGGACCTAATATTTTTTCAGAGATCTCTCAGTCTACAGCAGACTTGAATCAGGGGCATGTCATCTCCATGTAACTTGAAATAACAAAGCCTTTTTTCCTGACAGGTGCTGCAGCGATATTTATCAACAAGAGCAGAGAAATAGAAAAAGTCTCTGCCCGGGTGAGGGAGGAAACCAAGCTTCAGGCGGAGCTTTCGGACACAGAAGCTACTGTGAAGTGGATGAAGGATGGGAAAGAGCTCAAGGCCAGTGAAAAATATGAACTTCAAACTGTGGGGAAGAGGCACATCCTGAAAATTCACAACACTGCAGCAGAGGATGCTGGAGTTTATGAGTGTGTCTGTGATGAGGATAAAATGCTCTTTCAGCTTTCAGTGAAAGGTACGTGATTTGCATTAATGGCCTGTTCCTGCCATAAGCCAATAGAGTCATCAGGGAACAGAAAGGAAGTGCTCCAGAGGCAGTGCAGGGAGCTGTGGTAACTCTCCATCAACATCCAGCCTTGGCAAGGTCTGTAGTCCCAGAGTAGGAGAACTTGGGAGTGGATAAAAGATCTAACAGTGTCTCAGTGGTAAGAACTGTGCTTCCAGTCAAATTAGTGTCTTGGTATTCCATGGGAACTTGGTGTTATTTCATGAGACTGAATGATGAGTAGTGAAAAGGTGCTCTTGTGATGAAGAAATTCAGGCACAGGATGTAATGCACATTATTCCATGTGTGCCCTATAATTGCTATGTGATATCAGACGACTTGCTGAAGAGCTACTTCAGCTCTGATTAAAGTTTTGATGGTCCAAGATCATCTTGGCATTGTGAGAATTTTTTTGTTATTTGTTGTGTTGTTTTGTGGGTTGTTTTTTTTTTTTTTTTTAATTCTCTCAATACCCTGGTGAATAAGAAGAGACCTTTCCAGGGCACATTGGATGGCTGGGCTTACTGCTATTTGCGAGGTATTCAAATGGAAGGCTCTATAGAATAAAAAGCAAAATATTTATTTTCATGTTTCCTGCTTGTTAGATTTGAACCAGTCCTCTTTTACAGCTGCCCCATTGTTTGGCTGTTCCTGCTTTCATGGCAGTCCCTTCCTTCCTGATTGCCTGTTCCCTAGCTGGTGGGCACATCCACTTCCAGAGCAAGACATGGAGTCTTGAACCTTTACCCTGAAACCAACAGCATTAAGCCTTCCTCTTGCAAGCCTTCCCATCTCTGCAAGCATTTATGAATGAGTTCACAGGAGTGAAGGGGATCAGGTTTTGTCTGAAAAGCCCTAATGTATCCCTAGACCATTCCTCATGGATATTATCTAGATGTCTGCTAAGGTTCAGACTGTACAGCCTGACTCTAGGACAGTCTAGACATCATCTGGGCGAGTTCAGTAGCTGATTTGCTTTGAACTGTCAAGTTAACTTTGTAAAGTCATTCGATTTCCATGTTCTGCCCTGTAGCTCACCCCTCACCTTCTTTCCAACAATGATCACGCTGTTTCTACACTGAGTATGAGGTACTCCATCATCATGTTCTGCTGGCTTCTTGTCCTCCTTGGTCTCTGTAGAAAAAACAAAGCCCCAGAGTAACGTGTGTGTTTTGCATTTGACAACATGCTTGCTTGGTTATTCTTAAAGAGCAAACTCAGAGCTGAAAAAAAATATTAAAAAATGTGACTAAATTTATGGAGGGGTGGAACTGCTGTCTACATTTTGGCAGCTGCTCTTAATTTTCTTGGTTTTTTTGTTTTTTTTTTTCTCTCTCTTTCTTTCTTTAATGTCATTTTTCAAGCTGTCAGGTCTACCCACAGATGTAATTGAATTAGCTGATGGATGTTTCCATATGCTTTTCACCGTAATGTGACTATCAAAGGAGTAATCAATGCTATTATTTTAAAATCTGCATTGACAAGCTGTAACTTAAACATCTGCTGTTTGCAGCTTGATTCAGAGAACCAGCTTTGATACATCTCATCCTTGTAGGATAAAGGACACAAATGCTGTCCCAGTATTTTACCTTTTAGCATCACCACCTTTTATCTTTCCTTCTGTAAATCGGATACAGCTAACTGGTGAATCATTTGATGAGCAGGTCAGCTGTGTCTGGCACGTGGGCATCACATGGTTGCTGAGAGGTCACTGTGCTGAGCTGCAGCCAGAGGTGTGTCACTCACTGGGCCTCCTGCCCAAAAGAACCCCGCTAGAAAATGCACTTTGCCATTTATCAATGCAGTCTTTTTACTGCCGTGAGACTTCATGTGCCAGGCATCATCTGACACGTGATTTCCAGCATTGAAATTGGTCATCTGAGAAGCCTCCCTCAGACTAATGTGGTTGTATTTTTCACTTTATTTTTCTGAGGAAGTAAAAGGTGCATGAATGAACCCATCTCCCTCTTCTTCCTCCTAAACTTTTATTCTGTAGCCTGAATTCCAGTAATGCTGGTGGAGAAGTAGAGGTCCCAGCAGTGTTTGACCCCTGCAGACTTCATGGGTGTAGATGGTTGGGTAGAGGAGAAGGACATGCACCTGCCTGAGCGGGGCCAGAAGAGGTCACAAAGATGCTGTGGGGGCTGGAGCACCCCCCTGTGAGGACAGGCTGAGAGAGTTGGGGGTGTTCAACCTGAAGCAGAGAAGGCTCCAGGGAGACCTCAGAGTGGCCTCCCGGTACTTAGAGGGGCTACAAGAAAGCGGGGAGGGACTCTTGATCAGGGGTGTATGCATAGGACAAGGGGTAACGGTTTTAAACTGAAAGAGTGGAGATTTAGATCAGATCTGAAGAAGAAATTATTCCCTGTGAGGGTGCTGTGGCTGCCCCCTCCCTGGAAGGGTTCAAGCCCAGGTTGGACAGGGCTTTGGGCAACCTGGGCTAGTGGAAGGTGTCCCTGCCCGGGGCAGAGGGGGTGGAACTGGATGAACTTCAAGGTCCCTGCAAACCCAAACCATTGTATGATTCTGTGATTCTATGACTGTGGTGTTGTCCTACTGAAAGGAAAGCTCCACAGTTAGGAGTCATTAGAGAAACAAGTGGAAAGAGAGCCCCCAAGAAAAAAACAGTAAAAAAAGGTTTTCCCTGGTTTAAATGCTTCTGGTATGTCTTCTTTACCCATAGGTATTGCTTCTAATAAGCAGACTTACTAAACCCTAGAAAACAGGACTGGTAGGGACCCGGAGAGGTCAGATGCAAGCTCCTGTCCCTTCCAGAAGCTGGTGATTGAATAGAGTCCCTTGAGGACCATAGCTAGAGAGGCCCTTGGCTGCACCATCATGTCCTTCCCTTCCCTTTCACTGCTTATTTTCTTGTTAGGTCTTTCTTAGTCTTAGATTGGAGGAGATTTGGAACCGGGGTTTTGTTTTCCTTTCTTACCTGTGTACTGCTTGGCCAGTCAATTCGCTCTTCACTTTCAGGTTTCCAGACTCTGCTGCTGTATGAGTCGGTGATTATTGGTTCCCTACCAAATATTTGTCTGTAATTAAAAGCACTACCACAGACTTGGAGAAATCTAATGTGCTTAAAAGCAAGGAAAATAAATGCAGAACCCATCCTTGTGGGTAGGGCCTCGGAGCTAAAGGAGAACCCCCATGTGTTGCACCAGGTTGTAGCCCTGATAATAACACCTTGGGAGCAAAAGTCTGAGAGAATCACACTTCGGTCCAGATCATGGACTATAACTGCTTGTTACAGTATCAGCAATGAAAGCTAAGAACTGTTTTTGTCAGACATTCTGCAGAGTTATTAATTTGTATTATGCAAATATTTTCTTGAAATTAAGGAAAACACACATATAATCAAGTCTTCGATTTTTAATAACTTTGACTGCACAGTCTCAACAAAGTGACTTGATTGTGTGAGTTGTTTTTAAAAATATGTTAAGATGATGTTTGAAAATTAATTCCGTTATTTAAAGTGAGATGAGACTGTGGTTTTAGGCTCTCATTTTTAACTAGGATATTGGTGGGGTTTTGAATCTTTGAGGCAATTGGTGACTGAAATATTTCACTACATATTAACATGGTGACAGATTTATTGTTTATCTTCTGTGCCCCAGTTAATTTCCAGGAAGAAATTTATATTCATTTCAGTCCTATCTGATTCAATTTTTAATTTAATATCATTTGATTTCTGTAGATTACATTTTAACCTCTTTTGGAGTCGGTTTATTTCCCAGGTGGTTATAATACAATGATTGAATAACCTTCATTGCTTTCCCTCTAGTTTGCTTATTTCATTTCTTTACTCACCTCTCTCAGATATTTGGCCTAGGGCTTCTCCCCCCCTTGACTCATCCTCCTGTGTTGTATATATGTTCTGGGTTTTGGACATGTGATAATCAGGTATATGGTTTACAAAGGCTGGAAATTTGGCTGCCTCTGCATTAGAATCTAATGATCCATAATTAAACATACATATTTGGTCTTATAATAAATGAATACCTGATGTAGATGTAAGTGTACATATTTACGGATGTCCACGCAATTCTTTACTAGTGCTGTGTGTCTGTACTTTGTTTCAGCGCTTGCAAACTTCATAAACAAAGAGAAAAGTGGAGGAGTTATCAGGGCCATTGCTGGAAAACGGGCTGAGTTTGTTTCTGAGACCACTGAGGCCAACATCATGGTTAAGTGGTACAAAGATGACAAAGAAATCACAGCCAGCAAGAAATTCACCATGGAAGATAAAGGGAAACTGCATAAGCTTGTGGCTTCAGCTGTGATGAAAGAAGATGAAGGAACATACACATGCAGAATTGGAGATGACACTCTTACTTTCGATTTAAAAGTCTCAGGTAAGTTCGTGATGCAAGTGTGGAGTCAGAGTCTGTCTTAGAAACTCAGGACTTTGTTCATTATACTTGTCTTGATTTGTAAATTGCCAGATTTTTTGGCCAAGATTGCACAGCACTATTTCAGAGACTCAGACCCTTACTGTGGTCCTTATGCAAATCCACAATATGGGAAAAGAATACAACAAGCTGTTATGTATTCAAGTCAGCACAAGCTTTTGCTAGTGTTGGATTCATGACTCTAACACCATGCTAGTTGAATAGGCTGAGCACCACATCTGGCTTTTATTCTTCTAGCTCAGCATTTACATTGTCTTTGAACCTCCTGACTGAGGTCTTAAATTCTAACTGTGAAAGTCCTGTGTCCTCCTTTGACAAGTTTAACTCCTGATTGTGAGTGTTAAGCATCTCCTGCTATTCCCAAAGGACATTGTGATCTCTGAGACGTCTCCCTGTGGTACTGTAAGTGAAGCTATCAGTCCATGGCACATGCCCATCAGCATAAGGCATGTGCTAAAGCACGTGGCTGTCAGGTCAAGCTCAGAAGAGGATGCTTGTCATTGATGCGTTCCAGTCCAGGATGGAGCCAGAGTATAAAATGACATAAGAATTTATCTGTGAAATTCAATATCTGCGAAATTCAGCTGATTCAATTTGCATAGCCTGGTGGGTGTCTTTCTTCTACAAGTGGTTTTCTGGCTTATGTCTGGGGCCTAATTTTTAAGACGCTCCTAAGTTAAAGTTTGAAACTCTACTGAAAGCTTCTCATGGCATGATTATGTACCGCAGTGCGATGCAATTCAAGAGAAGTAACAGCTGAATGCTTGTGACCTGTAACAGTACATCCATGTTACTATGATGCTGTCCATCAGCTAACTAAAAACTCGGCAAAACTGATTAATCTAGCACAGTACTGGTCTTAAGGCATTGCTACATGTTTTGCTGAGCTAGAGGGATTGCTTCCAGTTTACAGCTGGTGTTTGCTCAGGTATTCACTCTGCATCTTGCCTCCAGTTCTTTTTGGTTGAGAATCCAACATTATGCAGTTTTCACTTTGAGTGAAATAATTAAACAGCCCTTGACTTTATCCGTTGAAAAACTGGTCTGAAAGAGCCAACCAGGCTGTGTCTGAACTGGCTCCCAAGGACAATTTATATAATTTGATTTATACTGTCTGATAAGAGCTCTCTAAGATGGAATTATAAAGTGTTCTGGAGCTGCCTTTGCCTGAACATCAAGTACAGAGGAAGCCTGCATGATTACCTGAGATTGGATTCCTAACTTTTTGATGACCATGTGCAGGTTAGGTGAAGCTCATCTGTATTGCCTGTAACAAAACATCACATGGCTCAGGCAAAGAAAACTGGCATCTGCTAAATAGCTGTGTATCCCCACGAACACTTCGATGAACAAGAATTGAGTTACAACCGGTTAACAAAACCTTAGATAGAGCAATCTCCACCTTGTTTCACATGTCACCATGAAAATTTTCCAGAGTGCTAAGAAGCAGCATTGCACAGCCAGGGCATGGTCTTAGGGCAGGGAAGTAATCTGTCTTTATGGTAATGATACCATAATAATACCCCAATAATCTTGAACAGCAGGATTCTGGAGGTGTTATCTGATTTTTTTAAAGAATAGATCAGTCCTATTGATTACAATTTTTAATGAAATCTGTGTTCTCTGATGCTGTAGATGCACCTGGCATGGGTGTAGCATAGCAATTGTCCTTGTGATACTCAGTCACTAAAAGCAACGGTTGCTGCTCAAAGAAATGCAATACTAAGCTAAGGTTGGTTATAACTGACAGTCATCAGCTTGCTCTTCAGGCAAGGGTTGCCTTGATGGAATGAAGGATATGAAATACCCAAAATACTCATCAAATATTGTTCATTAGCTTAGGGACAGGGTGTGTTGAACAGATCTGCTCACATGTTACACACATGGTGCCTGTGTCCACTGAGTTGCCTTCACTCTTACCGTTACAAATACACTTGCAAAAAAACCCGAGTTGATGAAAATGCTGTACCGTTTCTGGATACGGGGCACAGGCTGTGTGTTTGCGTGTGTGCATGCACAGCTCGTACATGTGGCCACCAGTCTGTGCAGTCAGCAGAGTCTGAGCTAAGGTACCGAAGCAGGAACTTCTACAGCTTGAGCTTTATGAATTGTGAGTACTCTACTGTGAAGATCACTTTCAGTAGAGAGATGTGATGCTGTTTGCTCATATATTAACTTAGTCCTCTTGAAGTTGGAGGATATCTTATCAGTGATCTTATCCTGTATGTACCCTGATTTGGTCTGGGGAAGATTTAGTCCAGTGGGACTGATATTTTGAACAGGGTTGCAGGAATGAGCTCAGAAATATTTAAAGAAGGCTCCTCATCACCTCTAACAAGATTTTCTGAGACTTAGATCTCTTCAAAGCTGTTTGCTTACTCAGGCATCAATACATATTCCCTAGAGCTTGCTTGAAATAAGAAACAAGGAGTGGTGATTAAAGTGACAACAACTTGAGGGCATCTCAACTTGATTTAAAAGATCCAGAAGAATGCAGGAGAGATAAATGTCATTGCACTGTAACTGAAAGCAATTATCTGAAGATCAGAGAAGGAGTTTGCACCATCTGTCAAAGTGAGGCGTCAACTTTATGGTGTGTGATGAGACAGGAGTTGTGAATTAAAGCACAGGTCAGGCTTTTATGGTCTCATGATGCTGGGCCAGGTTCTGCTCAAGGCTCTGTGCACATACAGCTCTGGTGATAGAAGCCACTGTGTCTGTGCTCTGTAAGAGCTTTCATGCCTGACTTCTGGAAAGGATGCAGAATACGGATGCACATCAGTTAGGTGGGTTTTGGTTATGAATACACATAGGCATAGATCCACATCTATCTAGAACTTAACAAGGCTAGTGTTAGTGCCACAGTGTAGACCTAATAGGCTGATACAGTATAAAGAATTCATCAATACCCAGCTCCCAAACTGAAGACCCTTATGTACTAACTCTGGATGATTTAAAACTTGGGCAATTATGTTCCTCAGCAGAGATAATGCTGCTGTAGCTCAGAAGGGACTTTTCTCATAACTACGGTTTACTGCCGTAACTGTTAACACTGTCATAGCTACATTGCAATGGTACCATGCACCCATATGTACAATTGCACCTCCAGAGGTGAAACTTGATCACCCAAGTGTGTCTAGCAATGAAAGCATGATCGGTAATAACTGTATCTCAACTTTGTGCTGATAAGCCTGAATCAAAGAATAAACTGCTTACTCTTTTTCTTTCCAGACGAAGCCGTTACTTTTGTCAACAAGCCCAAAACAACTCCAGAAATATCAGTCAGCCCTTCTGAAAACCTTGAGCTGGTGTGTGAGGTGTCAGCTGCAAGTGGAGCTGTGGTATGGAAGAAGAATCAAATTGAGGTGAAACAGGACCAGAGGACAACAGTGATCTCCCAGGGGACACACCGCAAGCTCATTGTCAAGAAGGTGACGCAGCAAGACCAAGGGAAATACACCTGTGAAATGAAGGATGACAAAATAACATTCCAAGTCAAAGTCAGAGGTGAGAAAAGGCTAGAAAAGCCAAAGATAAAGGCATATTCCATTCTGAGTGGTATCTTACATTCAGAGGACCAATTCACAATCTCCCTGAGGTGAAATATTTAAGCTGTAAGGCTTGATTTTTGGACGGCTGTCAAATGAACATTTTCTACACACATTTTTGCATCCATGATTTGTTGTAACAACAAAAAGTGATGGGCAAAGATGATAACTTCTGCACCTCTCACAATTAGCTGATGTGTCCACAGAAAAACTCCTGCAGAATCACAGTGTGAGGCCATAGCAGAGTTGCAGGGATAGATAAAAGGGAAAGGAGAGGTGTTTGAAGAGCTCTGATGAGATGGAGAATGACTGAATTTGAGTGACCCAAATAGGCAGAGAAAGAGGAAATGGTTCCTAGACGGGAGGAGCCAAGGGCTGTTCCTTTCTGATTCACTGAAGCTTGGAGAGAAATAGGAAGAGAAAGAGAGAGAAGAGGGAGGAGATGTCAGTCAGTGCATGTTGGTGCTCTAAATCCCAGGTTTAAATCTGTGCACAATCTGTGAGATTTTTAACATTATGCAGGAGTTTCCATACACCTATTCACCTCTTATCAGCAAAATAGAGATGAAGTCACATTAAGCACCATCATGACACTACCTGTCAGGGTCAAGTTTAGTGAAATAGAGAAAACTTGACAAAGCACTAGAGAAGATAACTGCAAAACTATCTGTGACTATTGTGTCTTTCATAACAGAGACAGAAGATGTGTTTACAAACAAGGACAAGGTGAAGAAAGAGGTGAAAGCTGCACTGACAGAAGATGCCACCCTGAGCTGCGAGGTGGCCCAGGAGAAGACCGACGTGAAATGGTACAAGGAGGGGAAACTGATCACCTCGAGCAAGAAGTTCAAGGTGGAGTCTCAGGGCAAATCGCGTCGCCTGGTGGTGGGTCAGGTGGAGAAGAAGGATGCTGGGGAGTACACCTGCGAGGCTGCTGGCCAGAAACTGACCTTCAAGCTTGACGTCACAGGTGGGAGACCTTTTTTGTTTGATATTTCATTGCTTTTTCTTTGTGTCTGGCTTTTTTCTGCCTTTTTCTGTCTCAAAATTCTAGAAATACTGTTGAAGTACTTTCTGATGTTCGTCTAAACTATCATTTCAGCGAGGTAGGGAATGACTGGGCAGTTACAGAGGTTTCCTGTGGGTAACCTGATATCAGCTCCTCAACTCCCTGTATGTCTCCGTAGGCTCAGATAGTGTATTGAGAGGTTTCGTTAGCAGGCACTGTGTTAAAGTACCTCTTCCAATTTGTTCATCAGTATTGGTTTTTCCTCCACTTTTTATTGCTTTTTTTTCCATGAATGTTCCTTTTTTCTTCCCCTTTTTTCTGCATCTTTTCTCCACATAATGTCCTCCCTCCCAAAACTGAGAATTGCTTCAATTATTCCAAAGTCTGGCTGTGCAAACACATGTGTAAGCACAGCCTCATAACTCTGTGCACCGTGAAACTTTTGTGGATGAGGAACAGAAATGGCTGCGGATATGTCCAACTTGAATTATTATTTGTATTTACAACCTTTCATCTGGCTTTCCCTTCGCCACTTCTTTCATCTGTCATTGGATACCCAGTTGTGACTCTGAGAACTGGTGCAAATGCTTGTCTGTCAAGCAATATTTAAACAGTAGCGTTTACAAGTTCCCTACTTTATTGTGACTGCATTGAGAATGTTTGGGAATTGATGGCACTGTATTGTCCTAAAAATTTTATATCAGCTGCACTTCAATCTGTGTTCTGCTGAATCCAGTGGTGATGACTGTTCATTGGGATTTCTACACCTGTAATGACCAGTCATGAGTCGAGGAATGTTTATTTGTATTTGCATTTTTCTCCATAACGACACGATTTGGAGTCTGAGGATTTAATACTGAGGCTTTTCTTTCATTCTGAGTGCTCTAGAGATTTCTTTGGTCTCAATAGATTTTTCAAGAGGTCCAGTAAATTTAATCTCAGGCCCCCAGCAGCCATGGACATGTCACCTACATTCTGAGTGATCATTTCTGGACTGGATAATAAGAAAGGGTTTAATTTTGTTTTGTTCATATTCATAACTCTTTGTTGTCTTTGCAGCCTCTCTGTTAATGTTACAGTCCTTGTCTCATATTCTAAGCTGATCAGAACAGGGAATCTATTTTCTCTTCTGCTTTCTTACAGCATCACGCTGGGACCATAATGCTGGCAGAGGTCTGGCATGAGCCAGCAGTGTGCCCAGGGGGCCAAGGAGGCCAATGGCATCCTGGCTTGTGTCAGCACCAGCGTGGCCAGCAGGGACAGGGAGGGATCTGAGCCCTGTGCTCGGCACTGGTGAGGCCACCCCTCAATGAGTGGGTTCAGTGTTGGGCCCCTCACCCCAAAAAGGCCATTGAATGACTCAAGCATGGCCAGAGAAGGGCAACGGAGCTGGTGCAGGGTCTGGAGCACAGGTCTGATGGGGAGCGGCTGAGGGAACTGGGGGGGTTCAGTCTGGAGAAGAGGAGGCTGAGGGGAGACCTCCTGGCCCTCTGCAACTCCCTGACAGGAGGGGGCAGAGAGGGGGGATGAGTCTCTGGAGCCAAGGAGCCAGCGCCAGGCCCAGAGGAAATGGCCTCAAGCTGCCCAGGGCAGGGTCAGGCTGGCTCTGAGGAAGGATTTCTTTGCAGAAGGGGCTGTTGGGCGTTGGAATGGGCTGCCCAGGGCAGGGGGGGAGTCCCCGGGATCCCTGGAGGGGTTGAAGAGTCGGGCTGACCCAGCGCTGAGGGATCTGGTGGAGTTGGGAACGGTCAGGGTGAGGTTCATGGTTGGGCTGGAGGAGCTTCAAGGGCTTTTCCAACTGAGATGATTCTGTGATTTTATCAGCTTTGTAGAAAACCAGCTGCATAGGGAGTGTATTGACTTTCCTGCTTGCAGCCATGCTGGAGACCTGAAGTCCTTGCAGGGCATAGCTCGAGTGCTGCTCCCTTGTCAAGGTTGCAGTTTTTACTGCTTTCCTACTGTCTTGGGGCATCCCATTCCCTCCACCTTTGTGCAATGCACAACTACTGCTATAGCATAAAGCTTTGCTGCTCCCCATAGCATGTATCGTAAGCCATCAGCTGTTGTGTATCCCCACTCTGTGTGAGGTACACAGGGTGTGAGTTGAGGCACTCTGGCTCCTTTTCATGAATTGTGTAGCTCATGGTTCTAGCTCAGGCAACTGCCAGGTTCGGTGAAGGATAGCTTACAGTAAGGCTAGATTGGAGAGGCATCTTTCTGAGAAAATGCAACCTGTGCATTGTTAGAAGGACCCTTGGTATAAACCAAGTTCATGCTCAGCTGCTGAAACAAGTTCCTACATTAGTGCAGAGGTGTAGTCAGAAAACACAGAAATTTAGTGCTTTTACAGTTGAATTTCTCTATCCGAGGGCTATTCTTAGCTGTCAGCCTCAGAAACCAAAGGTTTTCAGTTCTCTTTCAAAGCGGATGACTTCACGGCCGCGCAGGGTAATGTAACACCTTTCTCCCTCTGCAGTAAGTGGAGAGTGCTTGCCTAGCTACCGTTGCTGTATTTCTCATGTGTACAACTGTAACATGACATGCAAGTCCAGCACTCACTGGAAAATGATCTAGTGTGAAAGTCAGGAGGGATTATGAGTACTCTTGAGCGGTCGGCTCTTTTGCTGCAGAAATCCTCATCTTACTAGATGATCTCAAACTGCAGTGGCTTTCTGGTTCTTAATTTATCCTGTTACTATTGCGCTCAGAAAGCTTTTCAGGGTTCCCATACTCCAGGGCTCCACTGGTAGTGTAAAACTTCCCCTACTTAGCTTGAAGTTTAGATACTTAGTGTTGAGTATTGGGGTGGCTTTTTGGCTTAATATTAACAAGAAGCAGGTGCTGCACACCTTGGGACTGATGAGTAGGCAAAAGAGCTGATTCTGCAATCTCATTATTTCAAGAATCATGGTATACAGTCAAATCCTTATTTGAAATGGGTCAGAGCTCTGTGTCTTGAAAATGGTTTTCTGCAGTTTCAGTGGAACTTCACTAACCAACCGCATCTGAGGTTGGAAATACAATCTGAATATTTGTTTAACTTCAAAATATGTTTCTGAGATAAATTACAGGCTAGTGTAAATCACTTTAAGCTGATTATAAAGACTTGGTCACGTTAAAATGCTTTTATAGTGATAGGAACACTAAAGGGCAGAAATGCAGAGGACAAGTGAGTAACCCACCTGGAATATTCCTGCTCTGATAACCTGTCATTTTAAATACAGCACCTATTTACACAAGTCTGGTTTGTAAGTCATTTGTTTAGCGCACCCCGCATATTCACAGTCCAAGTTGTAGATGGAAGGCGAAATGTTTATATTTTCACAACCTATTTTGAAAGCAAACCATGGCGTGTGCTTGAGCTCTTTTAGATCTCAGACTGCTGCTCAGTCTGCAGCGGGCTGACGTGCCTTTAGGGAGTTTTGCATCACCCAGCATAGGCCATGTATGCTGCCTTGTTAATGACACATTAATGACAAAGACACCACCTTACACCCCTCTACAGCCTATACAGAGGAGCTCAAATTTAGAGCCTATGAGCTGGGTTCTTGCTTTGACTTGCTCCCCGCAGGACCCCTCTCTTTCCATGGTTTGTGCAATACTGATGGCAGGCCTATGATGTAGCTCCCAGGATTACAAGGAGTGCTGTGGTCAGCAATGTAGGAACTTGACCTGAACTTACTCCTTCTCCTTACCCTCTCAGGCAGCTGATGTCACTCAGAGTACAGACATGACAGAGACAGTATGCAGAGGAGAAAGTCATCAAGGAGGGGAAAAGATGGACATAGGAGGCTGCAAAGAGCAACTAGGGGGAGGAAGAGAGGAGCATAGGTTATGGCAAGGGTTCATCATGACAGCCAGGGAGAGCCAGGAGCCTCCTAGGTCACCCTAGCCAGGTAACCTGAATGCCTGAAGCTGTCTGGATAAATTATCTTCCATGCTTGCACTGCAACTGAAGGACAATGGCACCCCCATATGCTTGCTAGTCCAGCATAGTTTGGAGCCTGTGCTTCTGTAGCAACAAAATCATGGACTTCAACACTCAAGTACATACCTGGGACCCAAACAGGCAAAGGCAGTGTATGCTAAATACTGTTGCTGTGTGATGTCCATCATTCAGGCATACCAGAAATATTTTACATTTCTTGTGAAGTTATTTCTTAAAGTAACCAGAAGAAAGAAAGTTGGAGTCAATTTATTTAGGGTCTATTTGTTCTCTGACATCTCAAATACAATTACACTGCAAATACACTAATATAAAAGCTAACAGAGACCACACCAATTAATGAAAAAAGGAAGCGCAGGTAAAGCAGTCATTACAGAAATTAATAAAAGATGCAATTTATCAGTCAGTTGTACTTAAGTTGACAGTTCAATCCTTTCAATGCATATACCTCACTAGCTACTAATTATACAAGATATCCTTTTGATGCCAACTCCACTTGTTGAGATGGAAGTTCTAAGTGATACTGTGGAAGAAAGTGACTTTAAACACTTCATTCTTGTTGCTTGTGTTAAGAGGAGATTCCCTATGGCCAGTTTTCTAAAAGATTAGAGATTTCTGAGGAAATAAAAGTATACTTCAAATTTTATAAGTCAGTTTTATTTATAATGTAGGCCAAGTATTTTTCCATATTAACAACTGTATATTTGTAATTTCTTTGAGATGGAGTTGCAAGATATTTTCTGAACAAAACCCAGTCTTTATCTAAAATACTGTAATGTTGGTAACTTCATGGAAACAATGGGATAGTGAAGGTGGCAACGAATAATTGTGTTATATTTGGCTAGTTCTGAACGTGGAGTGTAGACATATCATCAGGACACAAAGGGGGAAATGTAATTTTGTCTTTATTATAAGAAATTTGAAAATGAGACAGTCAAGATGTTCATGAAGGATAAACAGGTCAGAATATTTTTTGAGGGTGCATTGTTCTACGTGATAAAAAGAACTGCAAAGAAATGAAACTCACAAGAAATGATGCTGTAGAACACCTACACAAAATACATGTAATATCTTCTAGTAGCAGGCTATTTATATCTTACATATATTTTCTCTAATGTTTCCCTGTTTCAGATGCAGAGGATGCCTTTGTCAACAAAGAGAAAGCACAGAAAGAGGTGAAAGCTGCGCTATCAGAAGATGCCACCCTGAGCTGTGAGGTGGCCCAGGAGAAGATCGACGTGAAGTGGTACAAGGAGGGGAAACTGATCACCTCGAGCAAGAAGTTCAAGGTGGAGTCTCAGGGCAAATCGCGTCGCCTGGTGGTGGGTCAGGTGGAGAAGAAGGATGCTGGGGAGTACACCTGCGAGGCGGCTGGCCAGAAACTGACCTTCAAGCTTGACGTGACAGGTGAGAGAACCTTCCTTGGCCCAGCATTCCTACTTTGGAATATTTAGGAAAACGTATTTTACCATTATTATAGATCTCCCATGTAAAACAGCATACAATTTTTAAGACAGGGAGCTCCATCCTTGAAAAACTTTGGGAGCTACCCAGTGCTGTAGGACCAGTGCTGTGAACAGGAATGTACTGATTGCACACGTCCATCCGCACATGTTGGTACAACCAGAACGACTCTCAATGCAGCCGATTCTGAGTACATTTCAGGACAGTGTCATGGCGGAGAGCGGTCGGGTGTCTGCCTCATGTCTGCACTCTTTTTCTTTCTCTTGGAAGGGCTCGTTTCATCCTGGGGGCAGAATATGTCAGGAAGGCTTGATATATGTTAAGGTCTCTAGTGTGTCAGATAAATGGCAGCTAGGGGAAGAAGGAGTCATGGGGACTCATTCCAGACGCATCGCCCTACTGGGACTGTAGAGTGGATTCAGCTTTCCAACTCAATCCTTGCCTCCTGATCCTTTTGCAAGTGGGCTGATGAAAAATATTTCTCTCTCTCTTCAGAGCCAGAAGTTGTGTTTACAAACAAGGACAAGGTCCAAAAGGAGGTGAAAGCTGCGCTATCAGAAAATGCCACCCTGAGCTGCGAGGTGGCCCAGGAGAAGACCGACGTGAAATGGTACAAGGAGGGGAAACTGATCACCTCGAGCAAGAAGTTCAAGGTGGAGTCTCAGGGCAAATTGCGTCGCCTGGTGGTGGGTCAGGTGGAGAAGAAGGATGCTGGGGAGTACACCTGCGAGGCTGCTGGCCAGAAACTGACCTTCAAGCTTGACATCACAGGTGAGAGAACCTTCCTTGGCCCAGTTTTCCTATTTCTAGAATATTTAGAACAATGAATATTAATTCATGAGGGTTTTTATTGTTATGTTTCAAATTTTTGGGAGAACATAATTGGGATGGCCTGGATTTGATGGGGAAATGGGAAAAAGAGTTACAAATACAGTATCTCTGTACAGTATCTCTGTATACCTTCTATGTTAAACTTTATAAAATCCTTAATACAGGGTTGTCCATCCCTGAAATACTTTGGGAGCTACCCAGTGCTGTAGGAACAGGGGCATGAAAAAGAAAATATTGGTTTTGCCTCTCCATAACCACATGTTGATACAAGCACAACTCTGAAATGCAGCTGATTCTCAGTACATGTCAGGGCAGGGTCATGATGGATAGCAGTTGGGTGCCTGCTTGGTGTCTGTACTCTGTTCCTCTTGGAAGGGCTTGTTTCAGCCTGGGGGTTGAGTATATAACTGTAAGACTTGATATATGTTAAGGTCTCTAAGGCATCAGGTAAATTGCAGCTATGGAAAGAATGTGTCGTGGAGACTCATTCCAGATGCATCACCTTAAAGGTGCTATAGAGCGATAGAAGAAATTCAGCTTTCCAACTCAATCCCTGCCCCTGATGCTCTTGCAAGTGAACTGAGTAATGTGTCTACGGGAGAACAAGAGCATTTCACCATTAGGTTGTAAGAAAGTGGGGTGGGCTGGGCTTTTCTCAAGGTTACATGGGAGTAATAACACAGTCCTGAACATGTATTTCCTGGTCCTAACACCCTTTGCACTGAAGAAAGTTACCTGGTGTCAATAGGACTGTAATGGCAGCAGGTGCAGCTATTGGAAACAAAAAGAATCAATGATTTGGGGCTCTGACATAGTAAGGAACAGTTCCTCCTAGTAAGAATTCATTAGTTTGCCCTCAATAGCAACAAAAATATATTGCCTTAGCTGGGGCCTGCCATACAATGCTCTTATAAATAAATGATCCAGATGATCTCCTAGATCACTTCTATAAATATACTAATCTTACCATCAATTATGAAAAAAAAAAAACCACAAATGAAAAAGTTCTTAAAAAAACAAACCAAACCACCAAACCCTCACCAAAACCTGTTTGCATGTTCTTCTAATAACTTAAAGTGTGGGTTGTCACATCAAAAGCTTGGTTTCCAGTGTAAACAATGATAAGAGCATCACACGACACTGTGAAATTCTGTCTCTCTTCAGAGCCAGAAGTTGTGTTTACAAACAAGGACAAGGTCCAAAAGGATGTGAAAGCTGCACTGACAGAAGATGCCACCCTGAGCTGTGAGGTGGCCCAGGAGAAGACCGACGTGAAGTGGTACAAGGAGGGGAAACTGATCACCTCGAGCAAGAAGTTCAAGGTGGAGTCTCAGGGCAAATCGCGTCGCCTGGTGGTGGGTCAGGTGGAGAAGAAGGATGCTGGGGAGTACACCTGCGAGGCTGCTGGCCAGAAACTGACCTTCAAGCTTGATGTCACAGGTGGGAGATATCTTGTTATAATTACAGTAGAGAGGGGTCCAGAGGAGGCCATGAAGATGCTGGGGGGCTGGAGCACCCCCCTGTGAGGACAGGCTGAGAGAGTTGGGGGGTTCAGCTGGAGAAGAGAAGGCTCCGTGGAGACCTTAGAGCGGCCTCCCAGGGCTGAAAGGGGCTGCAGGAAAGGGGGGAGGGACTCTTGATTGGAGGGTGTAGGGATAGAATGAGAGGTAGCGGTTTTAAACTGGAAGAAGGGAGATTTAGATCAGATATTAGGAAGAAATTCTTCCCTGTGAGGGTGGTGAGACACTGGCACAGGTTGCCCAGAGCAGCTGTGGCTGCCCCCTCCCTGGAAAGGTACAAGGCCAGGTTGGACGGGGCTTTGGGCAACCTGGGCTAGGGGAAGGTGTCCCTGCCAAGGGCAGGGGGGTTGGAACTGGGTGATCTTTAAGGTCCCTTCCAGCCCAAACCATCCTGTGATTCTACAAATAAATAATACGTGTAATAACTATTACACAATGACTCACTTGCAACAGTATGGGCTTTGTTGCCCCCTGTAGGGTTCACCTGATTTTCTGTACCTGATTACCTGGACTTGTAGAATTTGGAATATTTGGCTCTAGCATGGCACAAAGGCCTATATCATTCTTAGTCCGTCTATATAATAATTGCAGTTATAATAGAAATAATAATCAACGTATTATTTAGATCTTTCCCATTTCTGGGATCCCAATGATTTAATTCTTGTGCACTGAATGTCTTGAAAGGAAAGAACCATTCAGAAGTCCACTTCTTGTTAGGCTTCCAATCCCATTTCTGAAAACTGAGAGGCTGGAATATGCTTTGTCATTTGCAATTTTGGCAGTGGCACTCACTGAGATGGGCTGAAAACTCAGCACTTCTGAATTTGAGCTGTTGTGTGATCGAGATCTTGGGCTTCTGAGATGTGTTACTACTTCTGCCAGCTGCTAAATGTCTGTTTGTCTTGAAAGATTCCCAGTAGTTGGTCTTTTGGAGCAGGATTCACAAGGTGCCCAAACTGCTTTAAGTATGTGATACTAAAGGCAGTGTTGATGTTGCAGACAATCTTGGCTACCTTGCCAGCCATTATCCTGAGCTGCCTGAGCACTGTAGAGAGATCATATTTCCTTTGCCCTTTTGACAGTCACGTTTGTGACCATGGAAGAGACCACGAAGAGTCTGTTCCAGCAGCTCATACTGCTGTATTTGTGTCCCTGACATTTCACTGTACGTCTTAAAAGGAATTTGAGATCTTTTGGTGATGTGCAGGGCAGCTGTTCTTTGGGAACATTTGAATTAAATGCTCTTTGCATGGTGGCAAGATTTTGCATAAGATTGATGTCCGGGACCCTCTTTGTCCTTTTCATTCCTAGACTCTTGCTTCCCTAGTTTCCACATTGTGATTCGGTCACACAGAAGTGTAGATACTTCTTGGTGAAGACGGTTGGTTTTGGCAAGTGGGAACCTTAATATATTCCAAACATCTGCACTGAAATCTGTAAGACTGACCTTATTTTAATCTCTCAATCAGTATTTTCTTCCTTTTTCTGCACTCAGAAGCAAAACCTGCATTTATAAACCTGGAAAAAGTCCAGAAGGAGGTGAATGCTGCCCTGACAGAAAGTGCCACCCTCAGCTGTGAGGTAGCACAGGATGCAACCGAAGTAAAATGGTTCAAGGATGGAAAACTGCTAGTTTCCTCTAAAAAATTCAAAATAGAAACTGTGGGTAAAACCCGGCGCCTGGTTATAGAGCAGCTGGAGAAGAGAGATGCTGGAGAATACATCTGTGAGAACGCAGGCCAAAAACTGACCTTCAAGTTGACACCAACTGGTGAGGACTCACCTAAGCAGCTCTCTGTGTGGCTTAGAGGAAAATTGGGTATTCCCTGCCCAGTGGCCACAGTGCAGCCATCATTTCCCCTGGAGCAACATCACTGAACCACGTCACACATTAATTTGGCCTTTTTAATCTAACAGTGTGGAGATGGGAAATCTGGCTGAAGACTTTTTTTTTATTCCTGTGGAAATGCTGTATAGTTTTTTTGTTTAGTGTCTCCTTTGCACACCACGTCACCCAACCTTTTCAAATGGTGGGAAGCTGGAAGTAGTAATATACCTATGGAGAAAGAGAACTAAGAACAGCTGGTCTGCTTCTGTGTGTGCCCCAAAACTGCTCAGTTTAGTGGCAAAGCATTGTACAAGATAGAGAAGAAGCTAAGAGAAAGGGAGTAGAGCAAGCAGAAAAGAATATAGGCTACAAATCCAGGTTTAGCATATTAATAGTTCTTCATAATTAGATCTAAAATCCTAACAATGCAAGAGGAAATAATTACACAGGTCATTTTACTTCCAAGAAACCAGCTTTTTGTGGGTGGTACATAAAATGCATATTTGCATTACCTTTCCTTTGCTTCTCTTCTAAGCAAAAGCTCTGGGTTACCTGGGAGATCATTTTCTTTTTTCGTACTCAGCAAAAAATTATACCAGCCACAAATATTCCGCCATATTCCCTGGGTTATTACAGATTATGGATGAGTTGGTGTTGTGAGTCATGTAGAAGAGTAATAGAAAATTGCTGTGTTAAGAATTTGAGCATTAAGTTTTTAATTTTCCTATTTTAATGTCTTTCCTAGAACCAGAGGCTAAATTTGAAAAGAAAGTTGTCCAGAAAGAGCCTCTTATTGTTCAAGAACATGAAAGCATCACACTGACTACTTCAGTAACGCCTGAAACGGCTGCAGTAAAGTGGTTCAAGGATGGAACTGAAATCAAGGCGAGCAAGAAATATGAGATCAAGAGTGAAGGGGCATCCAGGACCCTGACAGTGAACCTTGCTGAGAGCACGGACACTGCTGTGTACTCTTGCCAGACCAAGAGTGACAAGCAGGAATTCAAAGTACAGGTGAAAGGTGAGCAAAGAGCAGCGCACAGGTCATGTCTCAACCCAACGACTGTACTTCTCTTATAGTAGGATGAAGGTGAAGTCCAAACTCTCTCTAAAACTGTTCCAACCTCAAGGTTTGAATTGCTTTTGCAGCTGCTGTGGCTGCCCCACCATGGGTCAACAAAGTTCTCCTCTTCCCAAATACCCAATTTTTGTCCTTTGCTGGCCACTCAGGGGCATAAGGAAGCCTACAATGAGTGCTTCTCCTGGTGTGCTCCTCATCCTCATCACGCTGTTTCTATCTCCTCCTAACCCTAGTGGGTGGGGCATGGCAGAGCCTTAGCTCTTCCCCACTCTGCCCACCAGCATGAGAAAGCTGATGAGAATGTAGAGGGATATTGTGTGAGAAGATCTGTGAGTTAGTCACATGGGGAAATGGGACCTGAATTGTATCCTCCTCTGCTCGTGGGATGGTGTGCCTGGGATGCTGCTCCCTAGCCAAGGCTAAGGCTGTAAATTGACAAGAAGTATAAAGTACAGCTGGTCCACAGATGGAGACGAGAGGGCAATGTTCCAGAGCAAAGGCCTGCTCCTTTCTCTTCAGACACACTGGAGACGTCCACAGCTGAGATGTGCTCCCTCAGCTCCCTTTGGAGTTATTGCAGAGGAGTGGTTGCTAATAGGTCATGATACATTTGATGTCTTGAAATGTCTCCTTCAGGATGAGAGAAATCACACCCTGGATTTCTCTGACTCCTTTGGCTGTGTCTCCAGTGACAAAAGACACAAAGGTGGCTGGGGCTTACACATCCGTACAAATTTTTACACTTAGGCAAATCAGGCTCTGATGTAAAAACACCACATGGTCTCATCAGGTAAATGATTAAAAAGAAAGGAGGGCCATACCCAATCACATTTTAAGACACTGTTGCTTTACAGAATGATAGTGATATTAAAATACCTTGTCAAAGGAATCTCCCTAAATTTCCACCTTTCTGATTTGTTTCTGTCTACCCTGATCCCCAAATATTTTCTGGGGTTGGGCTAGTTAATTATTTATTTAAAGTTCCCCCGAATCAGTTTCTTTTCCTTTCTCATCGTTTTCTCAGAAATCCCAGTGAAGTTTGTCGAAAAACTTGAAGCTGTGAATGCCGAGATTGGAGGCAGTGTGTCTCTGACCTGCAGTGTGAGCCATGCCAAGGGGAAGGTGGTGTGGTGCAGGAACAGAGTTGAGATCAAGCCCAGCAAGCGTTTCCAGATCCATGAGGAGGGGGTCAAACGAACCCTGACAATAACAGGGATCCGGGCAGAGGATGAAGGAGAGTACTCCTGCGAGTCCAGAGATGACAAGAGCAGCATTACCATCACCCCCAAAGGTGTGTCTCTAATGGTGACAATGCAGAGAATCCTTGGGTTTTGCCCTCAGCCATGACAACTCTGCAGATCTGAGTTTGTTCATGTGTTTGTGCTGACTCTGGTGTTGACAGCAAAATACAAAATTCCAGTTCCTCTCTCAGTGTCAGTGTAACCTCTGTTTGTGAAGAACATAATGATTTTAAGACCTGTTGAGCTCAGCTCTCTTAATGAGTGGGCAAATTAACCTTCATATTGCATTTGAGGCTGGAATTAAGTATCCCAAATCTAAGGTGGGATTTTTCCCCCCCCCCTCGTTGTTTACTTCTCTCTTCTGGCATCTTCATACACAAAACTTACTCAAACAGTGATGACCCATTGTTGTGATCATTTACTGTAAGTAATAGAAATTTTTGCTTCTGATAAAATCATCAAAGCTTTTGGCTCTTTGAAGGTGTTTATGTCATGTCTCAAAGACTCCTAAATGTTTTATTCCTATCCATCAGCTCCCAGAGTAGTGAAATTCATTACGAGTCTCAACAACGTGGTCTCTGAGGAGGGAAAAGAGGCTGTGTTTAGGTGCACCGTCTCTCCCAGTGATGCTGTGGTCACTTGGTTCAGGAATGGTGTCAAGATTGAAGGCAGCAAGAAGTATGTGATCTCACAGAAGGACACCAACCACAGTCTCACCATCACTGATCTGACGCTGGAAGATGCAGCTGAAATCTCTGCCAATGCTGAGAATGTAGAAAGCAAGGCCAGTCTCAGAGTCCGAGGTAAGAGGCAATAATGCCCCTCTGACAGGCTGTCACTGATGCTATGACCTATGCTGTATTATGTGGCTTTCCCTCTGACTGATTATGTTTAACAGCAGGGAAATTCTTCTTTCACATCATTAAATAGAGGTGTCCAGAATACAGTGGGACTGGAGATACATGAGCCACTACTTAAATTTTTTCTGAAAGCATGTTTTCTCGATCCTTTAAATTCTTACTAATATTTCTTCTCCTTTGGCAGAGGCCTCAATCTCATTCAAGAAGAAATTGGAGCCCAGAACAGTTGAAGAGAGGGACACGGTGACCTTGGAGGTAGAACTGACCAAGCCTGCAGAGGTTAAGTGGATGAGGAACAGCATCGTATTGAAGCCCAGTGAAAAAATAGAGATCAGAGCTGAGGGAACAAAGCACACCTTGGTGGTTAAGGACATCTCATTTGCAGACAGGGGCTTCTACTGCTGTGAGAGTCCTGATGACAAGACCCAAGCCAAGATCAATGTGGAGAGTAAGTTGAACGATCTCCAGTTCTATAAATAACCTGGACAGGGTTTGGAGGTGGCTTCTGGTCTTTTCCTTTGTCACAATGGCCACTGCCCTTCCCCACCTGCCATGGGACACAACCACGGACTTAGCCACCAGTGAAATGACTGAGGGGAAGTGAAAGCAAGGGCGATAAACAGAGGATGGTTGGCTAGTTCCTGTTGCCTCCATCTCATCCCACCAGCATTCAGTCATACTATTAATTATCAATCTTCTTAACTTCTTATTATTTTCCCTCTGAAATTTCTTACTCTGTGGTACGCTCTGGTTTTTTTTTACTTTGTATGGCCTTTAGCAAGCCATTCCCTCTTCAGCTATCTATTGTCCTAATTCTTCTCTGTAAACCACCTTCTTCAGAATGTCTCTTTATATTTTTGGTTGAAAAACCTACAAGGACAAATCTTCTATCTGAGGGTGCTTCCATTTCAGGTAAGCTAATGGTGTCTCAGCTGTAGCCCTCTACTTCTGTCCTTTTTTCCTACATCCCTTTGTTATGATTTTTTACAGAATAGATGGAGACAGGATTTAAGCACTTAAGGACTATCTAATTTTGTCTGTAAAGCCCCTGACACCAATTAGTGCTGTGTAGGTCGTAAAAAATAGGTAAGGAAAAAACATGGTAACAGACTTCAAGTACATAAAAGGCTGTTATAAGTGGAAGGGAACAATCTATTCTCCGTGTGGTAATAATGACAAGAAATAATGGAATTCAATCGCAATGAGAAAGATCCAGTTTATACAATAGAAAAGCTTTTTAATGGTTGGATGACTGAATAACTTGTCTGGAGAGGTCTTGGAGCCTCCATCATGGGTTTAAGAAAAGGTTAGTGAAATATCTGTCCGGGATGACATAAAGAGTTGAGCATGTCCTAGAACAGGTGAGAATAGCTAGATGATTTTTTTAGGTCTTTCCAGCCTTGTAACCTTCTAGTCTTCTGATGGAATCAAGAGATCAAAAACTGATGACAGGCTGCCTCGTACAGAGCAGGGTTTGCCAAATCACTTCTGTGCGCTGCTAAGACAGCTTCATCTTCAAAATCTTCCTGAGTGACAGTTGTCAAAAAACCCTGCTTTATCATCCAATACGGAGCAGCTATCACTTCTATTGGTGGTTGCTCATCTTTTTTTTTTTCCAAACAAAATAGCTCCAGAAAAAAAACAGACATTAGCAGTGACTAGTAGCTGGTAGATCAATCTTGGATTCATGAAGCCTTAATCTAGCACATTACTTTCAGTCCCTTCTGTAGCTAACAGAGAGAAGAAAATTCCTCCAGAGAATGTTTAAAGTCTTAGATGCACCGAATTACCTTCTGGAGTATTCAAGCAACCATGGGTGACTATGATGCTGGTTTAGAGCTAGATTCAGGTTTGCTATCTCGTTTAGAGCATCTGAACTGGGTCCACAGAAGATAAAGAATTCTTGCATTTCCACAGTCACAATGTGTTGGATGAATGCAGTACAGAACTGGGCAGTTTGCTGCTCCATCCTCTTTCACACGTTGCACCCCAAGGGATTTTTTTTTTTTTCAGACTCGGGGTGATACTCACTTTTGTCCAAGCAAGATGTTTCAGCGGTTGGTTGTAGATTGTTACACCTGGTTTTAGGCACTGACTGTTGCTATAGCCGAATGGTGAAAACAGAAATGATGGAACAATGTTTACATAGGAAGTAATTAGGTAGCCCTGATAGCTGTCACAGTGTTTTGCCCAAGGTGAGTCACGAAAGCATAAATGTTTATTCTGTCTCTGGTTTTAAACTTCTTATTCTGATGGAGATAGCGGATTTTGCTTTCTGCTTCTCAGGCACCCAGCTGCATTCTCATCGCTTATGCTTAGTGTCACTGTAAAAAGTAGCTCCTCTGTTGATTAACTGAGATTGTTTCATGCAGTGATGGAAACTCAAGGTGATCTATGTGAGGGACCGTGATCAAAAAGGGGAATCAGCTCACTGTAGCAGGGAATTCTTCTCGCATATGATCATCCAAGCCTTAGTTATGAGATGCAGAGGGAAAGGCACCATGTACAAGAATCTCCCTAGTCTATATGTATTTTTCATCCCAGTCCTCCAACGGAGACATCACTGAATTCTCACACTGATTTTTACAGCAAAAGCAAGACTAAAAGTAGAAGTCTCAAATTATGCTCCATTTTTTGTCATTTAAGCAAATGACCTATTTTCAATAGAATGTATTAGTGTCTACAGTGAGGTCAGCAGTAGTTCTTTAAATGCTCACAGTCTGGTGAACGGAGCTACTACTATTGGTGCTCAGCTTTAGTTTAAAAAGCCTGATCTTGGAGGACTTTCATTTAAAAAACATAAAGCGGGGCCGATACTGTTTGGTTTGAGATTGCTTGCGGAGCAAGGTAAATAAGGAATAGTTATGTGAAAATCTGTTGATTTACTCCAGTGTAAAAGCTGCTTTGTGAAAAGATAAGCATCTGTTCTGATCTTAAGATGTCAGTAGATCCTCAAAATAACTGAGCTGCTGAAACCAATAGCATACCTGGCTGAATATTTATTTTCAGTTGTGACCAGGAAGAGATGTTTGTGGAAGACTTAAATAAGTCAGTCACGGGTTCTTTCTCTGATACCCCTCTAAGGTTTTAGCGGGGAAAAGGATAATTAGGTCAATTAATTATAGCAGAAATTATACTGGAAATATGAGTAATGAAATTTTACATCTCTGGACACAAAATATCATCTATTAAAATAAATGCTGTAAAAGTTCTACCATTCTCCAACTGTTGCTGCTTTATGAGAAGACTCTGCATTAAGTCCATGCCTCATTTAATCCTTAAATCTTCTGTTACTCAGGAGTTTGCTGATAGACAAAAGTATTTAACTGGGGACAGGTAACAACATGGGGATTACTAAGGAGAGGAAATGGAGGTTCACAAATGGTTCTGAAGAGACTGGGAGGCAGGAAGTAATATCTTAAGCTTAATGAATGACAGCTCTTTAAAAAATGCTGTTGTTAGATAAAGAAAGTCTAGGAGTGGGGAAGGGGGCTTTTCAGAAATTGCATAGAGTGAGTGAGGTTTTTCTTTTAGAAATTTTTGAATCTTGATCGTTTCTCTGGTCTTGCTCTCCAAAGCAAATTAAAATGTCCTCTAAAACCGATAGACATTCCAATACTTCAGGAGCAAAAGGCAGTGTGAAAACCCGTAGCTCTTCTGTTTTGCCCTGCTTGGGGGGAGGTCTCTTGCTGGCTTTAGGTGCTGGTAAGTTATTCCTTTGTTTCTGAGCTTGCTCAACCAGCACATGCCTAAACCCTTTTCTTTTTTTAGCAAGTGATGTGGAAGGCAGCTTGGATTTGGGTAATGGCAATGTTGATCTAGAAATGCTCCTTGTCAGTAATTTTTAGGAGACGCTGTGCCTGAGAGGGATGGTCAACCCAGGGGCCCTTCCATCGGTTGGTGCTGACGGGTTTCATAGTCATACCCTCGGCCATACAAACACGGAAGCGGGGAGCAGAGTCTCCCTTACCAACCACCAGCTGGCTTAAAAGGTCCTTGTGGGGTTTTCATTTAAAGGGTTGCACACAGCCCTCTCCAGGCCTTTCTGGCTCATCATGGGAGTCATAAGGCTCGAGTTACACTTTACCACTTTGAAGTATCCTGGTATGGATATTAAGTAGTTTCAGAGAGAAGAAATCTATGTGATTTATTTCTTGCTAAGGGAAGTTCAACAGGGATAAAAAAGGAAAGGGAGGGGAAAGTTTAAGGGGACACTCAAAGTACTATCACTTGATGGTGATTATACAACTCTAAAAATAGGCCTGCTCTTATCACTACAGACTAGAAAGTAGGACTCGGGGGCGTTTCAGGATTAGGCAACTGAGCTAAGTACATCAGA